AGAGGAGAACGTGAGTCAACCATTAATTCCATCTTGGATCATCTGGTCAGTTTTATTCATGCTACTTCCCCTCAGTCTTCTTTCAAAACCGTGTACAAAGTCGTTTTGAACGGCTAAAAAGGAATGCGAACTCGTCACGTATGTAAGGCAGGGACTTTAGCAATCTTAAAGATAAAGCCTGAACCCTGCGTACAGAAAAGGTACGTGGATTCTCTTATTTTACCTTGATAATAATCCTTCCTTCAGTTTCTTCACTGTTTCATTGTTTTTAGTTTATGGCCCACTTTCTTACATCTTTACATATTAGTTACAGTCTCCCATTAAAATTCTCATAAGACCTTACTCCGATTACTGATCATAATTAGTATTATTACTTTTAATGTTTTCTTTAAACACACTATGATTACTCAGTCTCTTGCTAAATCTATAAACGATTCAATTCCACCTAAGGAAATTACGTTTTGATGGCATAATGTTGACCTAGTAGTCAATAACAGACTTATTTATTTGTGACTGCTATAAATACGATTGTACAGCTATTGAAAATGATTCGTCGGAAGGAAACTTTTCTTCGCTGATTCGCTTTGTGTTTCGTGAAGTCCTGTTTCGAAATTTTTATTTGCTTCCCACTTAAATTGTCGTCAGATTTGAGCATTCTTCCCTTAAGATCATGAAGGATCGGACAATGTTTCTTAAATAAAAGCCGGCTTAAAACAGTACTACTCACAAAACAGCTTTTAATAACCAGGACAAGATAAGGGAATAGAGGTAAAAAGTATGACTGTTCACCTATTGTAGTCAACCAACTTTCTTACTTGAATGCAGGGTGTTTGAACTTTTTCATGAGTACCTTTCACTTACTTCTTCATGAGTACTGGTTTTAAAATTAAGGGCCCAAAACACTAGTGGAAGCTGTGTTTGAAAGCAACTGAAAAGTACTGCTGCTTTTATAAGCTTTAAATTGTTTCCAAGTGTAGACTGGAAGGTAAACTCTACCTCTTTTCAATCACAAAGCGGTATCTGAGACCTATATTTTACTGATTCAACTCAAGGATATGGCAGTTGACGCTCACCCAGATTTAGGTATAGGTAAGGAAAATGCTCAGACACATTTGGGTGAAATAATCTTAAGTGGCCATATTCTGTTAGGGAGATATTGATATGGCCGTCTGCGTGAACTTTGGGCTACCTCACTTTGTCACGGAATATATTGCATCACATTTCTCCTCTCTACATTGTTTTAATCAATCAAATGTGTCATCTAATAGTAATATTTCCTCTTGTGCATTTTAAAAACCATTACAACCTAACGCTCTACAAGTTGATGGTCAAATTAGGAAATAACATCATAGTAGATAGCAATGAGCTCTCAAGCATATGATCATAAGTCGAATGAATATTTTGGAAATACCTAGCACGAGCTTCAGCTCGTTACCGAAGAAAGTTAGTTACCTTCAGTCATTCTTATCTGCATATATTTGTTGAAATACGGGTGTCATAAAACTGCAGGAAACATTGCTTGATAACGTATATGATTATTATTTAGTTTGCCTAAATGGTTCCAAACTATTTCGACAAGATCGAAGCTTTCCCAAGAAGAAATTTCGTGGAGGAGTACCAGCATTTATGAGTACTAACTAATTAACCTCTAACTATGTATGATTTAGCTTCTTTAAGGAAAAAGTGAATGCATCGCCACCAAATGTCATCCTAAACATCTGGGTAAATGCTAACATATATTCATAACAAACATTTATGCCACACCTGACTGAAGTTTTTCAGATTTGTCAACTTTTGCTGACGAATTTGTTGCTTCGATTCTGGGTAACTCTTTGTTTATAGTCAATGGAGATTTCAATCCCTGTGACTGAAGTTTTCTTGTATCATTGGGTCATAAAAATCTGGTTAGCTTTTCTACTCGTCGAGATGAAAAGGAAAGGCTGTATAAGATGAGATCACACTGGCATTCAAAGACCTAACTGCCAAATTAAATCTAAAATACAACATTTAAATACTATATGCAACCAGAAGTTCCTACCGTGTAAGAAATCTTCCGACACACGGAAATTATTTAAAGAGCTTACTGGCAGAATACAGATAACAAAAGAAGCTTGTTCGGATGTATGCGTGTTAAGTAATTGATTTATACTACGTCAAGCTGCCTTCACCCCTCCTGGTGTCTGCATATAAATGAAAAGCTGCTTTCCTGTTTTTAGTTTTAAATTCCTGAATCCATCCAAAAGACTAGGTTCTTATAGTGTTGTGAGTATTATATTTAGAACATGTGCAGATATCCTCTCAAGGATAGCTTCAATGCACCGTTTTCTAAAAACCCAACACCCGCTGCTTGGAAAGGTATCAAATTTGTACCTGCGCTTAAGTCATTTTCCGTATCAGATGTTAAGTTTCGACCCATCACTAGAACTTCCACTTTTTCGAAGAGAGTGGAGAAATTACTCCTCTTCGTGCTTGAGCATTCAGTGAAGATTTTCAGAGATCCAAAACAATTGGCTTACAGAAAAAGGAGGAGTACTTCAGACGCTGTCACTGTCTTGAATCATAATATTGTTTCTTGTTTAGACAAAGGTGTTAAGTATGTTCGTCGTGCCTTCTTGGGTTATTCATCAGCCGTTGACTCAGTCCCTAGACAGCTTCCGTTAAATAACCTTTCCATGGCTCATACTGAACCATGGGTTACAAGATAGCTGTATTTTCCTGAAAGGAAACAGCAAACTATCTATAAATGGAGTTGCGCCATTTTGTTGCTTACTGATACTGGTGTGCTGCAAGTTGCTGTACTTTCTGCTCTCGTTCTTTTAGCATTACTTACCTTATTTCTTTAAAACCAATTTTATGAGTATCCTGATGACCTGACGGTTTCTACGCAAGTAAAATTTCACTCAGACTTCTCTTTAATTGACCATTGGTCCCAAGCAAGACCCTTCTAGGTGTCAGACTGTTAATTTTAGCCTCAAGTGTAAAGAAGATTTGTGTGAGCTGTATAAGTTTCATAAATCTTGTTGCACTAATGGTATTTCTACAGAAGTCAAGTCGAGTGTTAACTATCTTGGACTAAGTTTTACCTCTGGTCTTTGTTATTCGTTTGATATCTTGTTGAGCTGACAAAACATCTTTTATGTAACGCATTACATAAAGGAACAGGCTCTCTTGTATAACCTCTACTTTTACAATTTATTAATCCCTGTATTTTACCTGTTCTACTCTACTATTCCCCGTTGATCTTTCCCGATCTACTAAAATAGGACTACGTTATGTTGAGTAGGGCTTTCTAGGCCATCATTAGGGTGTGCTGAGCCTCTGGCTCAGCTGATTAAAACTGTAGTTGACGGACATTTAAGTTCTAGCAGACAACTAGTTACAGCAACTTTAACTGACACTTAGGATCCATTTCATTCACAGGTCTCTCCTTTTCTCTTTTAGGGAGGGCAACTAAGTACAAGAATTCGACTTTGCATTACCTAGCATGTATTTGATGTGAGAAAAATGTGTTAGAACAGAACTCACATATCATATGTCTAACAGTTAAAAATCTCATTTTACTAATTTACTTCACAATGTAAAGTGTTCTCCTGATTATTATTTTCTGCATAAGTGAAATTCTTATGATAAAACTATTCGGAATGCTGTAAAGGAGTATTTATACATATATATATTGTTGTTGCTGCAAAGTATCGTGCTGAGAATTGAAAATTGTACTAAAAATTTATGGGATGATGTGATCACTACTACTATTACCATTACCTTTATTATCATTATTATTATTATTGATAATTCAGTGACATGTTGTAAATAAAGCTAGGATTACACCAACAGTAGCTAATTTGAATCCCTTTATTTCACAACTTTTGTTGTCACCGTGTTGGATACTTTATAAAGACAATTAAGGTGAACTATATCTAGCCTCAACTAGCAGCTGTATGCTATTACTGGAAATTCATATGGTTCAGAATTCTTGTTTCACACACTGTGAGTTTTTAATTTTCCCTGTCATCCTACTTTATAAGCATATTTCATTTCATTAGGCATTCATTATTTACAATGAGTGAAATGGTGATGATGTTGAGTGGAATACTGGTTATTTTCACCATTTATCAATATTCTTTCATTGCACTAACTATTACCAAAATCCATATTATTCTACTCATTATGTTTCAAATAATTACAAAATTTTTTTATTATTTTTAAACAGAAAATATTTTAAGTTCTGGTTGGTCATGTGCACTGATTAAATAGCCTTACAAATCTTGAAAGCGCTTGCATTAATATTAGGCAACAATGATTCGGGTTCGTTAGTTAATAATCAGTGTACTCAGTTGGTGTACATACTTGTGTGTACTCCTTCTGACTGACAAAACACACACACGTATATATGTGTATGTGTACACTAAGAGTTTTCTGTAAATGTGTGCATTTATTTGAGTTTAGCCATTACGATACTAGTATGCAATAACAGCCAACACACTAGGATTATCGTTATTATTACTTTTATATTTCTAACATCATTGCGATCATGAATTCACATTGACCTATGTATGTCATGATAAACTGTCAAATGAAAGATTTTTGCACAGTATGCAATAATCATCTTTTTCAACAATATTATCATCATTATTGAATCACACCAGTGTATTGTTTATATGTAGAATGGAGCATTTTGTTTGAATAGATAAATTAGTATGTATGCAACAGCAGCAACAGTAATGACTATAAAGATGAAGACATTATCCTAATCATACTACCAATAGAAATGCGTACGCCTAAATCACGTGAAATTCATTGTGTGATAAGCATTAATAGTAACCGTTATAGGTGGCACAAGTAGTATTGGTAGATGTGATAGTGAGTGACCTTGCGTATATTACTACTTTTACTATTTAAGTAGAAGCATGATACTGATTCATCATTTTGCTTCCCTTGTACAGTAATTACGTTCGCTTCCATCAGTTTAATCCCAATTAGGCAACAGTAAAATATAAAGGATGTTCAATGAACGCTTTAACCAACAGGCGATAAACGAGCATAATCGGTAAGCACAGATTCTTGATTATTTTCCCTTATTATATATTATGATAAACGTCACCGTAGACGTTTATGTTTTATATACTACCTTAGACAAGATCTATACATAGCAGATTAGAATTATTCTTGCCTCTTACATTAAGTGTAGCACATACTGTAACCAAATGTATAGTGACATGGTCTGTTGTCATTCTTTGTAATAAGATTGTTTCACACTCATTTGAAGTACATGTTAATAAGATACATGTTGATGATGAGAAGACAAATATATAAGGTAGAATGAAGCAGATAACAGATGCTAAGATTTAATGTGTACTTCATCATCCTACTGATAATGTCAACGATGTTGAAAATTTATTGTTTGACAGGAAAGCGATAATGTTAGACAGTACAGTTAACTTATTTACTCACACACGTCTTTTTGATACTTTTATTCCTAAATGAATGATGCATTGTTTTACAAGGATCGGTGACAGAACTGATAAGTAACCGATGGCACGAAAATATTATGCGTTTCCTTATTCATCATTTGTGTCACGGTTAACTGCTATGTGAGAGACGTTTATGAAATGATTTTGGTGGCTTTTTCAAGCCTTAATTCAATTTTAGTCGTAATATTCGTATGAAAGCAAGATATACTGCATATGTTGCAATGTTCCCCTTTGTCTGGAAATAATTAAGCCTTGCCTTTGAAGATGGCATTTTATCACATAAAAAACCCAGATTTTATTAAGAAAATGGTCTACTTTTCAAATGTTAGGCTCAATCGTATAAGTTAAAAAGAATTTAGAAAAACTCAGGTGCAAAGTCTTCGCATAGATGCATATGTACCTGGATTTTAAAGTGTCAATTAAAACACCATGAAGCTTCATTCAAACAAATGTCTTGTATGAAAGAGATTATTCATTAAATGTTTTTCGTCAAATGAATTACGATTCTTAGGCATCTTAACGAGAAAACGGTTTTCAACAGCTTTAGCAATTTACCTACGTATTGTGTTGTACTGAACATTCATCTGGAGCAGGAAACATTATAGTAATTCTCATTTAAAGATTTTCACTGACATTTTCTACAATAATCATGGAACTTCTCAAAAAAATAATAATTATTTGTCACAAACAGAATATTATCCTCAAATATGTAGCGTAAAACTTCAAATTCTCCTCTCTTAGATTTCATTCAGAGTGCCTTCTAATAATGATGATAATAATAATAACAAATATTATTTCAAGACGCTTAATTAAATGTTGAAACTGTAATTAATTGGGCGACTTGTAATACCACACAGGATAGTATGGAAATGGACAAAAGGAGAGAGTATTATTCATTGGGTAAAATTTCGTCGTTTAAAGCTATGTTGCAAGAAGGGCAAATTTAAAGCCTCATCTATGGGTATGAAGTTTCATTCTTACGGTTGACTTTTTCAGGCAGATTAAAGAAACAGACCAGGTTGAACTAGATCATTATAAAATCAAAAAGAAGCCAAATTTCAAGATATGCAATAGCCAACCAGGCAGAAGACCCATCGGATTTGTTTGAACAGAACGAAATTTTCAAACTTGCAGATAGAAAGTTATACATGAGCAAAACAATCTTTGTTTGACAAATCAGTCATTAGTGTGGACAGCATTTGATGAGAATTTCAGCTATCACTGAAATTCAACTACTCTTATAAGTTGATAGACTATGCTGGAGCTTTGATAATAAAATTTAAAGTTGTAAAGTAACCCTGGTATGAAGATAAGCAATATATTCATTTCCTTTTACATAAATAAAATCCAGTGAACAACTATATAGATGTAGGTACGTGGAACAGACTTAAGAAACGAAAACCATTCATCAACACTACATTCAAAAAACTGTTCAGTTTCATGTTGCATGGCTCACAGTTACATAAGCCCGTTTTAGACGTATGAAATTTAGCAAAGTTATCAGATGGTCAAATCATACCATTATCCATTAAACAGATGCTGAAAAGTTGTGATTCAAGTTCTAATCACAAATTCACCGCTGTGTCTAACTAATGATCAGTTATCATGTGCACATATAATCAAAAATATATGACATTTCGTTTGTCTTTGAAATGAGTGAAAGTGAAGTGAAAATCTGGGTAGTGATAGGATTTCTAACCAGTTTCCCTCAAGTTACTGGCTCGATACTCTGCCAACTGAGCTGTGAGGCTCAGCTGTAGACCAGTCAGTCAAAATCACTAAAGGCATTTTCTTACTGCTATCTCAGATATTCAAACTGATCATCTATAAAATATCGAATTTAAATTCTTATAACACCAGTTCAGTTTAAAGAATCATATAATGGGTGAATAAGATTGAAAAATTAAACAGACCTTCTTAAGAACACTTGAATAAGCCCGGAAGTATTGCATCACATCACAACTGAGGCTGTGGTTCATTAACTAATATGATCGATGTCCAACTATTGCGTCGAAGGTTCTGATGTCCCCTCAGCCACAGACGTTAAGTAAGTCGTAAAGCACCGGAAGCCTTCTTATAAATTATATAACTAATTTTCCCATCCTAAAATATGTACGCTGTTGTTGAGCTATTGTTCTAGATGCATTGGTGTTTGAAGGGTCCATTGGGATCATTTTAGCGTATCATGTCAACAGGTTACTAATAATGTATGTTATTCCAGATTTTTATACAAAGCGTGTGTGTAAGTCACGTTCACTCACACTCACAGATTACATTAGACATAAAACACATCGCATACTTGATTTAATGGAACTGAATTTCTAGAAGTGAATGGATTTAAAACTGAGAAGTGCCCTCAAAATGATAATTTCTGTTTTGTTTCTGTGCAGAACTTCTCTGCTATTAGTTGCGATGTAAAGCGCATCATTTAAATAATAATGACAATGCTGTATATAGGTTCACTTTACAACTGCAAGAAGAAAGGGAATGTATTTTTCATTTATATTCAGTAGACCATAGAAAAAGTCTGACACAACTAGTTGCTTTAAAGAATGAAACCAACTAAGTTGCATATCATCCACATAATTCACTATCTACAATCATTGTCCCAGATTACCTTGTGACTGTCATATTGCAGTCGATTCGGTTAGTTATGAACGGCAAATATCCACTATCCGATCGAATTGTTACATAAGTTGAACAGGGTGTTCCACAGAAGATTGCTAACTTTAGTGACTGAAACATTGCCTGATGAGGTTTTCAGACTTGAAAAAGAATATGAGTTCTATCGTAGTCTCATATGTACCTCAGTAATTGCTGACAACAAACCCTATCAAAAGAATCAATTCAGTAATTAATAATTGTCCAACCTAATTCCATTAAAGCTGACTGGTTGGTTAATTCATATGTATTTAATGCATATAACTTTCATCTTCATTTCAAGTTACTTTTGTGCATGTAATATAGTTGTCTTCTAAAAGTTTGTTTATTACATATCATGTACAGACTTCGAGCACTACATGGATGTCCAGAACTTCAATTAGATGAAGATTTGATGCGTGCAGCACAAAAATGGGCTGACAATTTAGCCCGTAATGAAAAATTATATCATAGTAATCACAATGGATATGGTGAAAACTTGGCATTCAAAATGTCCGCTGCACCTTGTCAAATAACAGGTAACACCACCTTAAACAACATATTTAGTCGGGATTTTTTAGCTGAAAGAAGTTACTTTTATTTGAAAATATCAGTTTTACTTTTAATATACTGTTTCAGCCTTCATCAACAAAATAAAATTATTGATGTAAAAGAAAGAGTGAGGGTGTGTTTTTGAGTGCAACCTTTTGCCGTTTCTCCAGACGGTCATCTTTTAGTACGTGTGGTTGACGTTTTAATGAAAAGCTGTATTGTTCGTGTACGGTATGCACTAAAAATGATACCCAACCAACAAAAGCATCAACAACAAGCACCAATCACCATTAATTGGAGAAAGCTAAGGGAAGTATTCGCTTTCACCTACCTACCTAGGCAGCATCGTTTAAACAACATGTGGCACAGACGAAGATGTCAAAACCAGGATCGCAACAGCAAGACAGGCTTTCTCCAATCTAAAATCAGTGTGGAGATCTACTGCGTTGCACTGCACTCAGTATAAGATATGGATTCTTAACACTAACATCAAATCAGTGCTTCTATATGGTTCAGAAACTTGGCGCGTTACGAAAGGGATTTCCAACAAACCAAACACTTTCATCAACAACTGCCTACTCTGGCTCGATACTGAAGATCAGATGGTCAGAAAGAATAAGCAACAAGGAACTCTTGGAACGAACCAACTAAGAACCTGTCGACCAACAAATATGCAGAAGGAAGTGGAGATGGATTGGGCATACACTGAGAAGGTCGACTGGAGACATCAAGCGCCAGACCATGCCTTCGAGTGGAACCCGATGGGCAACGACCAGTTGGGTGCCCCAGCTAAGGGTGACATGGAGGAGATGATGTGAGGAAGAAATGAAAGGCTGTGGGCAGTCGTGGAGCCCGGTTCAAAAGATTTAAGATAAGAGAGTGTACTGGAGACATGCTACTGAAGCCCTATGTTCCACTAGGAATCCAAGGGAAAAAAATAATAATGCACTAAAACACTGTCGCTCCTTAGAATATTATCTACTGTAGTCCATTATATGGACAAAATGGTCAACAAATCCATCACAGCAGCTGTAGGGCATTTCATTTTTGTTCCTAAATTGTATCGTGGCAAGTATGATGGATATTTCTAGAATCAAACAAAACTTATGTTCAATAATCATTGACATTTTATTGCAATAAAAGGATTTGTGGATTCGCTAAATTTTAGTCACGGTTTGAACTTCAGCTACTAACGCTGATGATAGAACTTACTGATATATATGTATAAGTATACACATCAACTACATTATGCGGAAACAGGTGTATCTGGTGCTGTGTAGCAACAATCATTTCTTCATATATTTAATAATGCTGTTTGTCAACGATATCCTAATGAAACTTGTTGAATGAAACAGTAAGGAGATATTAGAAAAATTAGGAATATTATGAGAAAGAAGATTTTCATTTTCAATGGGTTGTAATGAGAACATAATATACAATTTCTACAAAATCATTCACTCATATGATGCTGACCCCAATATAACATTTTGTGAAAGTAATAATTGAGTCTTTACACAGATATGATAAAAATGAAGTTGAAATGAATGTCTCATCTACTGAATATTTTATGGAATAAAGAAGTGAGGTTATTACGATTAAATGTATAAATGGATATTTCTTAAGCTAAAGTTTACTTAGTTAAATAAGGAGCTACTTTTCAAAATAACAGTCAGAGGATGATAGCTACTTATATCGTTGGTACCGATCTAAGTCTTCCACTCAACTAACAAGGTACTGTGGTTCCCAACCTTGTGCTATAATTTTTTAGTAGTGGATCAACAGAAATGACCTACGTAATCTTACTTTCATGCTTACTAAAACATATCAGTAACAGGTATCTGAAATTTCGAAGAACCTCAATTCGTAAGAGTGTTGTACCTATGTCACCTGTTACTAAATTCAGAAATGCTACCCATAGACTTCTAATTCTGAGAATAACTCTATGTTCGACTGAAAAGAGACCACTCGCTGTTAAATGGAGAGTAACGAAAGCATTCGTGTTACATTGTGTTCTTAATCCAGTCATCCCCTCAAGGCATAGACGCTTTCTGATAGTCCCTATGACTTTCTCAAAAAATGAAGTGTGACTACGTTATCGAGCAAAAATAAGAAACTAAGTTACAACATTCAGAAAGGGGAAATCCAGCACAGCTTCATTATACTGTATTAAACGCCTGAGTCAAGTTGTGTTTTAGACTCTTGAAATGGCTTCTGAAACTATGGGCTCTAGATTCGACCCTTGGCGGGATAACATCACACAGTAAGAGACAGGCACATCCAGCTGACAATCCTCAACTTATTCTTGTGAAAATTAAGAAATTCAAGGCGATCAAGTCTACTGACTTGGTAATTACAACCAATACTATAAGAGTAGATTCAGGGAAAGTAAAAACTGTTTTTAACGCAGGGTTTTTTTGATTTACTGGATGACTTTAGCTCTGATAAATATTTCGAAAGATGTTGTAGCGTCTATTCTATGACTAAATTCAAGCATACATTTGGCTATGCATGGAAATTGATGGTAGTCACCTTCCCTCACTGGACTATTCAAGGTCATCTGTTCCTTAGAATAATGTTCAAACAACTTCAACTGGATTGGTTCTTTTATGTTGTTGTTTGTATTATCCCGCCGTTGGCATATGGGCTCCTGTGCGGATGCCCCGATATTGCACATGTTTTAATTATATATAGTAATGATGGACAATTTCTACCAGTGGAGTCCAGAACATGCATTCCGTCCTACGTGGGACTCGTCAGCTGGATGTACCTGCCTTCCAGGGGGATGAACATCACTCACTGTCCATCATTATTATAGGACCACTTCTTTGTATGCATCCATGTGTAAGCAAACACGTAAATTGATAAACATTGTGGAATTTGATGCAGGTGTGTTGTTTTGGTTTGTGCTGAAACATGAACTTTGTTTTCTCCAAAGTGATGAAAATGTCTGCACACTGTTTTTTGCCGATTACGGACTTAAGCCTTGAAGCAAACTGCCTTTTTAAAGACATTTAATTTTAGACAGTGATTACTGACTGTTTTGTAGAGGAAATGGATAACAGAGTATAAAAGCTGAGTACTAAGTATTGACTTTTTATAAAAATGTTTATGAAATTTAGACATACAACAACAAACATTTTATGCCAAAAACTTGTTAGGTTGTCTGGTAGTTCAGGATTTCTTGCCACAATAAGTTTTATTCTCAATTCGAGTGGTGTAGACTGAAAGATCTTTGCGTAAACTGAGCGATCTGCATGTGGCACGCACTCGAACAAAATTTTCAGCGTCTCGAAGGTGACAGTCATCATCACTGTCATGGTTTGTGTCAAATCTAAGGCTATTAGAAATAAAAAAATTTGATGTGATCATTAAATATAAACTAAACCTCATTCACAAATTCAACATCTCACTTTGTATGAGAATGGGTTTGTTGTTTAGTTAGTTAGTTGCCTTCGTCAATCAAGCCAAATAAGTGAAAATCATCGCTGAGGAAAATTAACTGTGTTCTGCTAAATGGTAACGGAAAAAAATGTACGTATAAAATAGGTGGGCTAAAATGTGGTCAGCGTAACTATGTGGCATATGGGCACGACAGTAAATGTGAACAGTTATTCGGTTTTTGACTACATTTGGTTCGTGTGTTTTGTGGTTTGATAATCTAAGCTAATACTTTCGTTTTGATATTTGAAATATCTGGTTGCCATATTGGGTCTAATTGCTTGGTCATTACTGACAGATGGACTTCTGTGAGGATACCTCAATACTGCATGAATATTCAATGTAAAGCAACGGGCGTTTACATGCATCAAGGCAACTGACACCCGTTGTACAAATAGATGACTGTCATGCCCCAGTGGGTTTCAGATCACGTTTTGGGGTTTTAAGCATTGTATACCGGGTTCTGAGTCTCAGTGAGAACAGTATCACTCATCGAGATGCAGACGTATTCAGGTGTGGAGTCCTAAATAGTACGAAATGCGCATCTTGGACTCCACTTCAAGCCACATAGCAGACTACGAAATTAACCATATTCATCGTGGCTATATGACTGATGAATTTTATCGTCTTCTATAGAAACGGCTTGTCAAAGAAATATCATGACTAAGTATTCACAGACATACACCACCCGGAAATTAGTTAGGATAGAGTTTAGGTGTGCCCAACTGATGTCATCCTTATTTACATAGAGAATCAAAACCAATGACCTCCTGTTTGTAAAAAAAGGGCTCAGAATTCAAAAATTGGCGTAAACTGAACATTATCTTATCTTTCTAATGAATATCCGTCCTAACTCAAGGTTCAGTAGACATAATATTCGGTGAACCTGCTACCTTTCCCATTCTCTAATGAGCAGTCATACTAAACCGTTGTGGAATACAGTACACATAAGATCGGTCTGAGTAAATGCATAAGTAAGTTTTCAGCCAAAATCACTTCTGAAGACGAAAAAATACGGTAAAGGAAGGAAATATTATTTTCCACGATATAATTTACTGAAGGTATGAAATCACAATGATACCTAATCAGTATTGTAACATAATTACAATTTTCTTCAATAAAAACTTGTTTCTAAACACAGAAGGTAATCACACAATGATAATTTTGTATTAGGAATATAGTGACACGATAGACTGGGTATAATTCTTCTGAACACACACATACAGTTTGGGCATAAATAGGTGCATTACCATTACTTCTACTACTCGACTGTATTCCCCTTTAAATCATTTGGTTTAACTCGTTATGTAACGTTAAAATAAGAGTCCATTGGAGCTGAGTGCCTTGAACTGACTAAATTCTCCAACATTGTACAGTTTACATGTTTACAGTGACCCCTCGAGAGCCGTGCAGGATACTGTCCAAGTATATTCCGAGAGAAAACTCTTTATTCTTACTCTACAGCTGAATCCATGGAAGCAAGTTAAATGTTAGACACACATAAATGCTGTCTAAAGCTGTAGTCTGTACTTAACACATCAGCAAACCTACTTGTAGATTATAGGTAACTCAAAGTTTCGCAGAAAAAATGTTTGTCTTATTGACGTAGAGAGACGGTTCTGTGTGATCTCTGCCACAGGACTACTAAAATCTTCTAGAATAAGGAGACTTATTGGTGTGTTGCTTCAATTCAGATTTTTCTTAATGAATATGGAAGGATACTGATTTGTGAAAACACTTGCCAAATGCCTTTCAGATCATCTTCATTTGTATCATTTATGTATGTTTTTCTAATCCTCGGCGTATGCAATTGAACAAAATTTTTTTTGTGCTCAATGGAGTCCGGTTACCGAGATGGTATTACTGGCCATTCCACGTCAGGTTTACATGTACCGTTCTCTGAAGGAAATCATATTCAGTAGAACATTCAAAATATGAAAATTCTAAACTCACCTTCTGTTCTAATTTAAACTCGATTTACTGGTGATGATGAGTGAAGATTTAAACTGTGACTTCAGCATTCTTATCCTTATCGCATATTGCAAATGTGTCACCCATATATCTCTCATGCAGACTAAAGCTTTAAATCATCAGGTGCAACACCACTTCTTCTAGTTTCATCGCTAAGAGTTCTTACAGTGAGAGACCAAGTGGTGATCTCATTACAATGCTCTCATTTCGTGTGCAGGCTGCATCATAAGAGTAGATCTGCTAAGTATTAGTTTGGAACAACAGTGATGAAATTGTTTTCACCAAGTGAGTTATACAGGAAACAAACGGTTTCAGCAAACTGTTTACGACCAAAAAAGCATTCCATTACTTCTTACGCTGACATTTTTAGTTGGATCAATAAAGTTAAATGTACTGGGTCCACTCTGAATATCAAGATAAATTCATTAAAATAATTTATTTGGTCACTCAAAGGAAAGAATTTCCAAAATCTAGAAGCTGTGTTGTGTCACTGAAATAAAACTATTATTGGCATACTAACTATAGTAGTTATTTCAACTCTTCATATTTATATATTTTTAGGAGAGGAGGTTTCACAAACATGGTATGGTGAAATTGATTATCATGACTTCAGTCAGTGCTATCATTCAAATTCACGTGAGTTATACTAGATAAGCAAAAAATATTATACTATTAATTTGACCTTGAATAAGAGTTTAAACAATTTATCAATGCATTTTCAAGATTCAGTGGTAATATATTTTCATAAAGCTACCTAATACATGCGGTATATAGGCGAACATTCTAATTGACTCGTAGATCATGTGATTTATCTTTTCATTTTTGGCAAGAAAGGATGTTCTAACGGCTAGAGGAAAACTGCTATACATTTGGGTAAAATTTAGAGGTGACGTGCTAAGTGAGACGCTAATTCACAAAATGTGCTGATCGGTTCAGAGGACTTTTTATTCTGGCACATTACAAATTTCGTTTTCCACACGCCAAATGTTGACACCGAAACTGAGAGATGAATTACCTAGACTGGTCGCTTCCTGTTGTGTTTATAAGTTTGACCTCTCTTATGCAGCCACTTACGTCAGCTACTACTCTATGAATTTTATATTCCTTGATCCCAAACGCCTTCCAGTGTGACCAGTTAAAAGTGAAGTAAGGACCAAAAGCAGCTGCATATTAGCACATAAAGTGGATATAAATGAGTTGTTCCATCAACTTGCCGAAAGGTACTCGGCTCAGAATCCTTCAAACTATAGGAGTAGTAACAATCAGGATTAAACAACCCTAGTTGTGCGTTCGAAGGAAGCAAGTGTTAACTCTACAAATATCCTGACCTGATTCGGGAGGCATTAAGTCGTTATCTTCCTGCCCCAGATAGTTTAATTGCATATTGTTGGTACCCCCTCTTCCCCATAATCTGAAATAACTTTGACAAATTTAAAAAAGCCTATTTTGTCCTTCTTAGTTTATTTCAACCAATGGTCATAAACATCTCCCTGTTTCTTTTTTAAACTGTCACCTCATATTATTACACAAGCCATATACTCACTTAGATAGTCAGTTATTTTGAATTGAATCCTAGGGATAACTGGTTCCATCATAAACGTTCACATACGACTTTTCTCAACTGGTTTCCTCAGCTGTATAGTATTATTAACAAACTGGTAGGCAGAATTTTTATGTTGCTCACCCGTAATTCCTCAATTTGTACTTGTAACTGTATAACCTGAAGAAGAAAAAATAGTAATCAAGAATTTTCTTTGTTTGCTCAAATGACTTTAGAAAATGATTTCTTGAGAATATTATACACAAGAAAAGTGTGGATTTAGGATTTGGAAATGAATAATATGTAACTGATATACTTGGCAAAAAATTGTGTTTTCTCACTTGGATACTTCGTAAAAATATTAAGCAAGATTAGACTGAGAGACCTACCCATAGTCACTCTGTTAATTTGATAATATGAGGTGATATTTAGCTAAAGTCAAACATATTTGGTGACCATTAGTAGAGGCGGTTAGGATCTAACTTTTATTTAGGGAAAACGGTCAGAAAGTTGACGTACATTCTCAATGACTTATTCGAACCAAATTCTTGAAAATAAAAGCTAAAAACCAAATATACTTGAGAATTCGTTTCAGGTGTTTAAGTCCTCCCTCGTTCAAGGGAACTGGAAGGTATCTTTCAGACTAAAGACTGCTAGATGAACACGAACAATTCTAAATATTTCGCTAACTATTGCATAAGTCTTTGAACAATGATGGAGAATATTTGTAGCTCAGGTGGATGGTCTTGGTTGTATTGTGTTCTCTGAGCTGGGTTGTTTAATCGTGAAGCTTTCATCGCCTTGCTAGACGATATCATCAGCAGTAACTTCAGTATGAAGTGACCTGTCAATATTTCTCCGTGAGTGATTTGGTAGCTTGCTCTGACGATGTGGCCTGTGATTGGTTGTTTCCTTCGATTGTTGTGTCATTGATTGTATAGACTTTCCTGTTGGCTGTCCTTCTGCTTCACCTCTGACCTTTCTGTCGTTTATCACTTTTCTCATTGGTTGATAGATCGGGTCTATGTCTATACATCTGTCGATTGCTAACTGACCTGAATGGCAAGCTTCTAGGAATTCTCTGATATTCTTTGTATTTCCTCCGTCCAGAATTTCTACATTGTCAAAATTGAATTCATGTTCATAATTATCCACGTGCATTGAAATGAGTGACGAAATGTCGTGGCGTTTAACAGCCAATTGGTGCTCATGTAGACGAAGGTGAAGAGGGCAGCCGCTTTGTCCAATGTAGTGTTGGCTACAGTTATTGCAGTTGGTTTTGCAAATGATATTCGGTTTGTCTTCTTTGCTTGTTGCATCCTTTGGTCTGCATAATAGTGTTTGGAGGTAATTTGTTGGTTTATGAGCCACACCAATTCCAAGTGGTCTCAGTAATCTTGTTGTGACTTCTGATGCATTCTTTATGTATGGTAAGACGATGCGTTTGTTGATTTCTGCCGATGACTTTGTAGTTGGTGATGCACGGGATAGGCATCTTGTGATAAAGTTTCGTGGGTAGCCGTTCTTCTTTAGGGTGGACATCAATCAATTTTCTTCGTATCTCCGTGAAGTTGTTGTGCTGCAGTGTGTTCTTGTTCTTTTGAATAGAGTCTGTACGCAACTGATTGTATGTGCTGTTGGGTTGTTGCTACTGTAGTTGAGGATTTGGTCAGGGAATGTTAGCTTCCTGTACACCTGGGTTCCCAGCTTTCCGGCATTTGTCCTACTAACTAAAACATCCAGGAATGGTAGTTGATTGTTTGATCCTTTCTCCTTTGTGAATTAGATATCATTGAAAACGTTGTTGATCAAACTGTGGGTGTTTTCCATATCATCCTTTTTAATGATGACAAAAGTGTCGTCTACACAACGAATCCAAATTTTTGGTTTGACCACAAGTAGAATGATGGCCCAGAATTTGTGCATTATAAATAGACTAGAATAGCTGTTCAGTTGCGGGATAACGATGGTCTCATAATTCACTAAGTTTCAGAAGACCACTGTGCAAAACTGCAGAAGTAATCGACAAAACTATTGACTAGATGCAAAATTGTATTCTCATTTTGATACCTAGCCGCATACGTGTGCCTAATTCCTATGTTCCAGTTGAAAGTTACCCAACATTTACGATGACCAACCATTCTAAAGTTAGTTTATAGACAATCATAACAGATAAACAAGTGGTTTACTGTTGAAAATAAAGGCAGTAATCAAATCCTCCAAAACGTTTACTGCTCTCAATCATTGTCTGGTATTTCGCAAGTTCTCCATGCATTCGCTTAGACGAATAGTCATTCCACTTTAGCTTTTTATTCAGAGTTTGATAGGCAGATCATTGGGTCACTTAATTCTCATGAAGTGAGTTTAAAAACAACAACAATTAACCGTAAAAATTAACTGGAATTTTACATTGTTACTCTGACTAATCTCATTTACAATGAGAGATACCTTAGAAAATTACCTACTGTGATATTCTTTTTGTTGAAAATACTGCTTATTTTCGAAACTTTTCATTCATAAACAAATAACTGAATACACTGATTTGTGTCAAAACAAAAATTAATCTATACGAATCAGAACATTAAAATATTATTGCTGTTATTCTGAATCCCCTACTGAGTTAATCCACTTCATTTACTCAATAGTTAGTGTAGGTGCTTTGGATTACGTCAAATTACTAAATCATGCTGATTAGCGAACTTCACTTTATTACCTCAATTCCTTCTGTGCATCATCAAGTTATAGTAGAATAAGCTATTGAAAATTGAGACACTTTTAAATAATTACTTGATAGCTGTTCAAAGTACTATTCATCATAAGATAATATTAGTTAGAAAGGCCTTTCAAAATCAGTAATATATATATTGACTGTACAGCGGTAACATCACTTACTGTAACATTGGGTTACGTGGGTTTAAACCTTGCAGGAAATATCACTACCCTCCAGATTTCTATGACCAAATCTTACTGTCTTCGTATTTTTGAAATCAATAACAGATAAATACAAACTCACTAGAATGTTCCTTCGAATGTAACTTAAACCAACTTTACTACTAATTTATTTGATTAATATTCACTCTCACCGTTTACCTTAACATTGTATATTACAATTTGTAGAATATTCACTTAGTGGTATCAATTCAAGTTAAATTTCCTCTTTTAATTTCAGGTCATTTTACTCAAATGATATGGAAGTCTACTACACATGCTGGATTCGGGTTAGCTTTTAGTGAAGACAAGACTAAAGCGTATATCGTTGGACGCTATCTACCCGTAGGAAATAAAGGTGATTTTCGTTGGAATGTACCACAGTTTCAAGGCCTAAGAAGATCTGGTAGGTTGATTTTCATGCTTATATTATTACGTTTAATGCAAGCTAAACACTGTATGCTTAAAATCTGGTTTTAACATTCTTTTCATGATTGACCATGTAATCCTGATGGATAGAAGAATAAACTGTGCTCCAGATAAATATCTAAGGTATTTTCGTAGATTATAGTACTGATATATGGCTAGTCATCAGAATTTAGCCACAAGAGTAAAACATGTTAGAGATTCCCTGGGGATTAGAGATAAGGACCTTTTGTGTCCTAATATTTTAGTCTACTGAACTTGATTTTTCTTCATATAGATTTAGAGGTCTAAAATCAAGTTCATTTTGTTACTACTCCTTCGATCTATAACAAGAGGAGATTTTTCGAAAAACGTTTGTTTCCGTTATCAGTATTGGACGATGCTGATGTTGTTTCTAGATCGAAGAGGTTGGGATACACTCAGTGAAGTTTTCAGTTTTAGAGGTTATCTGGGCTTAAAGGTAAATAATATATTGGATATCATCCATAGTATCATAGCCATACGAGAAGGAATGGATATGATAGACGCCTGATCTCACAGAACAGTGAAATTTAATGATTACAACAGAATCGGCAATCTGTTCACTTAGAGTGATTTCATAGCGCTCAATATACATTTGATTTGGAAGCATCTTTCATATTGCAAATTGATTTGAATCGTCACAATGGAAAACACAGTTTTGAAGAATTTACACTTAAATTTCCTTTATATTAACTTGATAGAAAATGATAGTACACATTAGAGCACGACATTTGATTGGCTGATTAGCGAAAGCTTTACATATTTTCGCATAGCATCTTCATTTATAAAAGTAATTATATGTACAGTGAGATCTTTTGGTGGGTAATGTTACTGCCAGTGAGAATCGAAACGGTTACATCTGCTAATCTTTCCAAATGAAAAGTTTCGAAACGTTTAGTTGCGTCACAGGAACATCCTTTTTCGGATTATGCAGCTTCTGTAACTGAAACTCAAGGTTACCCATGTGGCTTTTGTCACTTCTGACTCAAGTGATCAGAGTATGTTTTATAACTATTCGTTGATGTTAAATAAGTGTTCTGTCCCACTAAGATCAAATACCTCGTACCCATATGAGTGTCGCTTACATTTTGAATCCAACTACTAGCTGATACTCAGCAAAAAGCTCGGTAGTGTACGTGGATCCATTTAACTGAAGTGAAACATATGGAGAAATCTTTCGGCCTACCTAACTAATTTCAGCCACACTACATTACAAATTTGAATAAAATTAAAAAACTTTAAATAAATTTGATATATTATTTCTTCTTTGGTAACAGAAAGCTTTTACTCATGATCAATTCAGTTAGAAATTGTGAAAATATTTTCCAAGTGATGAACAGTTAAATGTTCAGTACTATATAGAATATGATTATACTTGTCCAACCTAACTAAGGAAATAATTATCACCACAGGCTTTTCAATTTCACATTGTAGTAGTTTGTTGGACGACAAGTTTACTTTAGGTTTTTCAGATTTATTATTAAAAATTGTTTCATACTTCAAATAGGCTAGCTGATTAAGTTCAGTGGATACGTTTTTGTTACGGTCATTAGTCCTTGCTTTAAACAGTTCTAAATCTCCTTATTAGGTACTCATGAAGTCAGTTACTTGTAGAACTAATTTTCGTTAGTTAAAACTCCATAATCTAGTTACGTAATTTTTTAACATGTAAATAAAGCATAATTTTTTGTTTGAGTAGTTATCCTACTTAATTTATATCAGGAACCACAAATGTAATTGTAAAAAATTTATTAGTGGCCATTGATCCAAAACAATTCATTTAGTGATATCACTTCGACTAAAAACAGTTAGATTCTGTACATACGTTTTTCGTCTTTTCCTTATTCTTCGTCTTTTCAGGTGATAATGAAAGTAAATAATTATCATACTAGTTTGTTTTAATTAGTCTATTCAACGTACGATAACCGTTTAATAAACGATTCTTAGTTTAACTGTGTGACTGGCCTTTCTCTGTTGCTAATTGTGTCAGTCAATAATTTATTCCTAATAATTGTCATATTTATCTGAATGGACTACAGGTAAGAATGACATGATAGAACTAGCAGTAATACCGAATACTACTAAAGAAGGTAGGTGTTGATTTTAAACCGGAGATCGCAAGTTGAATTCTTACATAACCAAAGGTGAATAGAATAACCTTCAGGTGCTAAACGTTTTGTGACTAATTGAAATGCGACACATTTGAAAAGTCAAGATAAAGGTGTTTACTACTCACAGGTTTCATGCTGGCAGAGATAAGAGTGTGCACCCCCCCTCCCGATGAAAACAATATTATTACTATATCCAGGAGTATTCCTGTTTGTTTTAATATCATTTCAATGTCTGGTGGTAGTCCTTTTTTAAATCATACGCAAATATCATTGATAGCAACGTCACCGGGAATCAAAGGGATAATGACGTGAATACTTATTGGAAGTCTACTGAGGCTTCCAACTCTCTTAACCATCAAAGCTAATTGTGGAAAACGTCAGGTATTCAGTATGACCCATCTATATAGTAAAATGGTTAAAGTTGATTTAAATGGTGGTTTTTAGATGATTTGAATAATGACCCGCAGGATGATTTAAATCATCCAGACACTTCCACTTCCATCATCTATTGTGATGATGAATAGTGCTCACTTGGCTTAGCTACTGAAAAGAATTTTAAAGAAATAATAAAGATAAAGATCAGTTTTGGGTGGTTTTCGAATGGTTTAAACTAACTTATTTTTTAAGGTGGCCAAATTATTTCTAAAAAAAATTCACTGAAAACTAAGCTAATTACCTTGGTGTTTTTCTTATTAGGTCGGTATGGAGGTAAGTTTTTAGTAAGAAATATTATTTGGTCATTTAATTTCATGGGAATGTTCAGGAATAATTAATTGACCGATATAGCTGCATTTCTAATCCATACGACAACACTTTCATGTGTAAAATTGTTGGTGTTATCGAGAAAACCTTTAAATAATGAGAAATTGTCTGTTTGAATTTCAACCATTTACTTCAGCTTTCATTATACTAATTATGTTGCTGGAACAAATTCACCATGCAATGCTGTTCACTTTTTATATGAGCATATGATCAAAAAGGAATTTTGAATTAAAATGGTATAAAAAAATATCTGTTTTCAGTTAGGTTGCCTTCGCAGGACTGTCATTTATTGCCAAGGATTGTAGATTATCATACTGTTTTTTTTATCATTTCATATGATGATAAATGAATTTTGAATCAAGAAGAAGCTTATCCTTCATCAAGAAATATGGATAATGTTCTTAAACCTATCGCAAGTGTTTTTACGCGCTAACTTATGACTCGAATTAACCAGAACTCATATTTTGCCAGAGAGATTTCTATTTAGCATCAACAACTTCATGTGAACAAATTTATTGCATACAGAAATATGTTACAGATCTAAATTGCAATGACGTTTGAGAAATCGATGCATTGAAAGTATGACCGTAACACTTAGTCTATATGGTAGAATATTATTCAAGTTGATTTATCAAATGTATCATACGATTAAAAACCGACATTTAGTGAATTACTTTCCACAGACAACTCTGAAGTGTGCTCTTAACAGTCACAGTACAGTTCTGTCTACTTTGTCATAATAAAGGTGTTAGAGTTCTCCACACATCTTAGGTATGTACTGGGCCAATACTATTCTAGGTATTTCATGCTGATTCTTTGAACAAAGATTCAATTATCAATTCTTCTCTCCATCACATTAAGTTATTTTAAAGAATTTTCACTCTCTTACATCCTATTTGTAGTCCAGTGTGTTTGCATGCAAAGCGGTAGTAGATTTTCTCTCTAAATTCCCTCACTTACTAGGGTCAACCAATCACCATTCAGCTAGAATTTCGTGCTTCGAAAATCAAACTAATGTAACGCACTGTTTCTAGGTCATTTTAATTGGTATAATTTGGTCTCACCGGGATCTGTGCTACCATCAAACTTCGTAAACTATGTTGTCATATAGGATCTGTTGAAGACTTCACGAATACTCTTACTTGTCAGCCACCTAATTACTTAGCAGCATCACTACACAGAGTTATAAACCACTCTACATCTAGATTATTAATGGTGACACAATCATTATTATTAAAGACATAATTATTACCAACATTACTGGGAACACTATGAAAACAGACTTCTAAATTTATACACCATTGCCAAACGAGGGAGGCAGCCAGGAGAAATTACGAATGATTTCGTACAACTCGGGATTAGATCAGCATTTAATCCTACAAAACTCAAAACAAGTCTTGTAGACTGGGGCAACTTACTAATCGAATCAAATAAAATTATTTCGTTTGCCACATCCCCTGCATTGACTGCGAAGTAAAATACATAGGTGAAAATATTCAACCTGAGTCAGTCCAGTCTGCTAAAGCACAAAATGCCCAGTGAACTGAAATTGGTTTATTCTGGAAAGTAAGGAAATTGATAGGAAAGCCCGATTATTATCGTGTGCAAATACACAAATTCAGATAGAATGGAACAGAGTGACAATTCTTAAAAAGAACTTATTGAGATGTAGGAAAGGATTGATAATTCAATCTTCGTTTATAGAATCGTCATGAAATAACTGCACCAGGAATGACTCAGCACCTGTTTCAGATGTGTGAATAATTCTACCATTTGCATTTTGACGAAGAAGACAGAACTGTACTGTGACCATATAAACCACACTGAAGAGTTATAGGATTACCTTGATTTGACTGTGGACAACAAATTTTATGTGAGGAGTGATTTAGCAAATGATACTTCTACCCTATGGGATACATCTGATAAATCTGAAATAAAACAGAGTCAGAAGTATTTCTTGCGACGGATGATCATCATGTAGGTAACCGTTGAAAAACTTGTGCTGAATATTTGTACCATCCTCCTTTTCAGATCACTCAGACGTGTAAACGAACAGTTGAAAATAAAAGCTGTTTGAGATTGACTTATGATACATGTACTCATCTTTATGAAAGTGAAGTTGATCTACCAGGATTTTATGGAACCAATTACAGTCAAACTGTCAAAAGACTATAGAAAGCTTTAAATTTTGATGTATCACATCCATTACTGTACTTAGAAAATGGAACCAAGATGGTGTTTTGCATTAGTCTGGGTGTAGTTACACAGTAAACGTTTTCATGTACACAGTTTGCGTTTTGTTGCTTAATGGTGATGCTTTGAGTGGAGTGAAAATGTTTACAGTAATATTAACAGATACAAGGTTATTTAAAATGAGCTTATGGGTGTCTTGGATACTTTAGATATTGTTTTTAAAATGTGCATTCATTCATGAAGAAATGAAGCATCTTGTTCAATAAATAAACCAGCTTAGTCACTCTTGAATACCTGGTAACTTTGGCTTTTGATGATTCATATTCAGATGAATATGTGATTAGTGGGTTGACGGATAGTTTAAATGGTTAGTGGCCGTTGTGAAATAACTTAGGACCCAGATTTTGAACACATTAGTGCTCGGCCGATGATTATCAATACAGACATATGTAATTCTGAGCAGTCTTCCTAATTTATATCAGTGATGGAAAGCGGCCAGCAGTGGAATCCAGAACGTGCATCTCTTCCTACTTGGGACTCGTCAGCTGGGCATGCCTGCCTTTCAGTGGGTGATGTTTCCATCAGGACTGAAACTCGGAACCGATCGCTTCGAACGCTGGTGCGTTATCCGCTAGATATGCAGATGCATCCATCTGGTGATTGCCTAAAAAGACAGAACATGCATCCCGGATACCGCTGCTAGCCACCACCGAGCAAATTATAAAATGGTGAATATTCACTATTACAGTGAGAAAGTACAGGTATCAATAAATAATAAATCATTTTCATTTTGGTCGGATAACTGAAGTCATCAATATTTCACCTGAAAAATTTGATTAAGTGTATTTTCAAATATTACTGTTTGATATTCTTTAGCAGATAATGGCAGTGTTAAAGGTGAGTGAATTCAATAATCTGTTCATTTGTTAACAATCCACTAAAGTACTTATTTCAAGCTTTTGTCTGATTATTGAAAAAGCATTGAAAGAATAACAACTTTTGAATGGATTATTTCCCTCAAAAATACGCAGTTGATTATCCATTTCGATTAAATAGGAGGTCAGGGGCAGAATGAACTAATTATACGTAAGCGGTATTCCTGAAAAACTACAAAAGCTTGTCACGATTGTTTCCCTGTTGTAATACTTTCGAGGACTGAACAACATATGGCTACTGGGACAATATGGTACCCTTCGACGAAAAAGAACCATGAAAATAACATCGAAACTGTTAACTCAACAATTTGCTAAATATAATTATTTGGACAGTGTATTCCATAAGATAAACTGTTGAAAATAGCAATATTCAAGTTAACTGAAAACTAAAAACTTGCATAGTTTAAAACAAATAGTCACTTTAATGAATTTGTATGGTATAATAAAAAGATGGTGATTATCTGAGGAATGTGATGTAATCGCGCAATATATTTCAAACAATCTGATCACACATTTACTTGTCAATGCATTTTATATGAAGGATGAAAATGGGGTGAGACGGAGTAAAATAAATAAAGATAGTGCAAGATTTGGAGAATACCAGGACAATAAGGAGGAATAATACACTTACACACTTTCCTTAGCATTAAAATGAAGATGCATATCTTCTGCAGTTCATCAGTGGTTATAAAAGCGTCTCAACAGTGCAAACTAATCAATATCCCGAAGAAGGACAGTTACATCACCCTGCAGTATAAGGAGGAATCATATGGTATCATCTTAAGACAGACGGTTAATTCAATTATTAAAAAAACACTCATCATGAAATGACACCAGTTGGAGGAACACCGGAAACCTGGGAGAACTCGATAGCTGCTTTGTCTAAGTATGGGACGCCTCGACAGCGCGCACCCATGGCCCCGCCAGGGTTCTGCAGCCATCACCTTGCCACTGAATCGCTGAGTCGGAATCCAAATTTCCATATTTTCAACTTCTATCAGCACACGATATAGCGTGACCATCATTCAGTGTCATCGTTGAGTATTGTTCTAACAGCTACCAACTTGAAAATCACTAAATCCCCACAAACTTCCAATTTATATTAAAAGACAAACTATGCAGCCAAGCTAGATTTCATCGAGAAAACGAAAAATCTGCTTTAAAATAAACCTCATCACCACATAGATGGTCACGTCAAATCCCTCTGTGTATACCCATTCGCATGTATGTTTGGTGACATATACAATGGGAGGAGTAATTCCACGGTGAAGTCGAGGGTGGTTGGACATATGCGTAAGTGACTTGAAAAAGTAACGACATTACAGAGAGTAGACAGACGTCATCTTCAATAGGTAAACATACTATAGAAACAAGTCACAGGACTGACCGAAGAAAAGCGTATAGACCATTGCATACTTTTGTCCATTAAAGCTTTGACTATGCGAAAGTTCAAACGCCCTTTAGTGTGCTAGGAAACAATTTGTTCTTACCTTGAGCCAACCTTGGTAATCATTATCTCATTTTAACGCCAAGGAAAGGGTGAAAGTGTATTATTCTTTCTTATTATCCTGGTATCTATCTTAATTTATTTATTTTACCCCATCTCACCCCATTTTCATCCTTCATATTGAATACATTGACCAATAAATGTGTGGTCAGATTGTTTGAAATGTATTGCGCGATTTCATCACATTTCTTAGATGATCACTGTCTTTTAATTGGATTATGCAAACTGCATCACTGGCTTACATTTTCAATCTTACTGAAGGGATGAAAGCAATCTACTTTCAAGTAGAAGATTAATTTCGTTCCTTTTTGTAAAGTCATATATTTTCATATGTATATTTCATCATTGTCACAAAAACATGACTGACTTCGCGGAAGCATAATCTTGAATTGAAGAAGTTCTCCTGAACATTCAATTCTATGTATTGCTTCAGTAAATATACGAATGCAGAAAGTTGAACAGGTGTATGGAAACGTATAATGAAATTCAATGATAAATTTTGAATGAGGAATTTTCGATCACTTCTGAGGTTATGGTATTAGAATTGCCTCTTAGGATGCTTTAACAATGAACAGTAAATTAAATGCTAACATACTTGAATTCAACAAGATTTGCACGCGTTTCCAATGACTGCCATAAAAATAAGCTGTTCGCCTGTAAGCTTATCAGATGCTTCTATAAATTTCCGAGTAAAATAAGAACAAATATTCTCATACAAGACATTCACTATGAATAGGTTATGAAACTATGAAAGTAATCCCGCGAAAGATGGAACGACTAATTAAAATTTCGAAATCAAAGGAGTCTTGCTTAACCATCAAACTAGAACACAGCATCCAAAAGTTGCTGACCATGTCTGAAATGTTTTTCAACACTTATTTTCCAAGAATAAGCAAATACACAATAGACGAAACAACAACTATAGCGTAACTATTTACTTTACACTAAAAACTAAACATTTCATAGCTTATGTTTATCTGCATAGCTTCTCTATCTTGCTCAGCTATGTATATAAGAGCTTTTCACAGTTCCTTACCAATTTATAAGGATTTGAATTCCTAAATAACTGATTTTTGAGTACACGTAAATTAAACTCCCACAGTGCTGATCTCTCCTTATATCAAAATGCACTTCAGGTTATAATGGTAAGCTAATATCAACTGTCTACTCATAACTGAATGCATTTTGTCACTCAAGATAATAAGTCCGTTTCAGCGAGTAGTCCGTTCTTCTAATTTTTGTTTGATTCGAGAAAACCTGTATAGTTTCTATCACTTCGTTTTAATATGCTGTTGGAAATTTACGTCTGATATTTAGTCCTAACACCACAGTATTTCACTTGATCCCTCTTAAGTCTAGTAGTTGTTTCTCTCCTTAACATGTCACCAATTTAATTTCCACAACTTATCCCCTTCAGAAAATAACGAGAATACACGAGGCAAGTTTACGTGTAGATGTGTTTGTGTGGTTTACACTGGCTGCATATAGAGTTCCATTTCCTGAAGTTTGTAACTGTTTGTTATGTCAGTGTGAGCTTTAAGGTGTTATTGTTGTACAACAACAGTCTTAGCGCTTGTGGCTATTGGTTTGTGATTTGAGTCTCAGTGGGTACAACACCACTTATTAAGGTGCAGGTATACCCAGATGATGAGTCCAAAGAAGGAGGAAACGCGTGTTTTAGAGAGATAAAGAAACAGCTATTTAACCGCAAACCACAGCCTTCTCGACTCATAACAGTTTATTAGCATATTTTTCTTCCCAACTAACAGATTTCTAAGTAAACATCAGTTAAATTGCCATAGTTAACTGTCAACACGTCACTTATCTCCGTATGGTAGGCCACTGACATCTCATTTCAACGTGTCAGTAAAAGCTGCTCACACAACTGCTGAGATAACCGATTACGTTTCTTCATGCTACGCAAAAATATCATTCCAGACAAAGCCGCGAAAACGAACTGGTTATTTCATCAGTTGACAGAGTGGCCTTTGAAGTCATCTGTTTGAATTCTAACCCAAAAACCACAGCATTTCACTTGATGTTTCTTAAGTCTAGTAGTTGTTTTTTGCTTAAATAATCCTGAACTTAACTTCCACAAATTGTTTTTTTCAGAAAACAGTGAGAATACACGAGGCAAGTTTACATGTGGTTGTGTTTGTGTGCTCACAACTTTGTCAGCTCGACACCCGTCACATATGGAGTTCCATTTCCCACAGTTTTTAATCGTTTGCATTGTTACTGTGTGAACTTCACGGTGTTATTGTTGTATAGCACCAATGCATTTTGTCTATCTTTGTAGCGAAAAGTGTTCTCAACATATACTGTTTGTTTCATGAAACCACCGATAGGAAAGAGACAGGTAGTAGATCTTAAGTTGATGTTTGACAGACGGTTATGTTCGTTTCTGTGAGTGTTTTTTATTAACAGTAAACTGTTTCGACTTTCATGACTGGTTATGTGAGGTGTTTGAATGATGATGGGATCTATATTCTTTGTAGGAACTGATGTATAAATCTTGGCAAAACCATTGAACAGTGTTTCCATAAGCTCTTAATCACGTCTGAATTTTAAAAATTATGTTTTTTATGCGTCATAAAGATCGAAATTATCGAATATTTTTGTCTGTTATTCATTCTGATTCTGCTGAATAACGCTATTTGATGTTGACTGTCGTGATTTCTAATACTCCAGCTTTCATAAACATGTTTACCTTTAAATTCCTAGCGGCAGAAACTTTAATCAATCTGAATAACAACTTTATCATTTGGTTGCTGACTGAACCCTGCACACTGAACTAATGAGGCAGTCATTGTAACTTGTATAATTTTCCTTTTGGTGAATCACAATGTAAGGTTTTTTCCATGGTATGATGTTGGATACCTGTAAAATGTCTGTTTAGACGAAGAGTAAAAATTTTGTTACCTCAGCTTTAAATGGCAGATTTGTGATATTCTGCTGTGTGAGTACAGTATTGAACTCCTAATTAGGTTCCTTTTAGTGTGTCATTGGTTTGTAGAACAGCGTTTTCCATCAGATATGATATGGGAATAATTTTTAAAAATAATTCTTTTTCTATTACTTTTATATTAAGCTGGTTTTCAGAAATCACTGTTTATCAAAGACAAGTTATTCATCCTTCTGAATCCCAAATGTTTAAACTTAAATGTTTTACAACAGAGTTTTAATATGAACAAAAGTCTCTGATCAGTCAACAGCGTGTTTTAGAAGTGTAAATACAAGTCTATCAAAGTTATAGACAAATCTTGTCAATGGAATCATATAGGCTGTGTGCTTACAAGCTGGTTGACAGCTTATAGAAGTGTTGCATAACACATTTTAAGATTCACTTATGCAATTGAAAATATTATTTTCTGCCTGATGAAATGTCTTTCATTCTTATTTATTATGAGTAAGACCGATAGATACTACTTTAGGGAAGCGTAGTTCATCTGTTGTTTACATTGCTAGGACACTACATAAAATTCAATACAACACTACTGGTATATACACGATATATACATACATGGAATACGCTGGAAGTTAAATCGCTTCACCCACAAAAACGACCTTCTCAAGTATTTTATTTAATGTTATCTGATTGTAAAATTTCATTGTACCGCGTTGAAATGACTAATTTGAATAATTTTACTTCTTAGAGATTACCATTATTCAACTTCATCCCGAATTGTGTCACTGTGACCTGAAAGCCTAATGTTTACAACTCAAGATAATGATAACGATGCTTTAGTTTTCTCTGAGACTGGTATTGAAATACTCAAGAGGAAATATTAAAACTCAGAGAATATCTATCCATCGTCAGTTTTGGAAATTTTTAAAAGTTAGTATTTCATACTCTAAACCCTATACTGTATTCGTTCACAGTAGGTTTCAGTGATTATTCGAAAACCTCTACGTTTTTTTACTTTTAAAGTTTATTTCTTAGCTTAGGATTACAAGACTTATTTTATTTCCATTGTTTTCTTTGATTATTAGTAAACAACAAAACATTTTGGTTCATTTATCTCAAAATCAATCCTAACAATACTTCCTGAGTAGACTAAAATGAAAAAAAACAAAAAATCAGTTACCTTGAGTTACATAATGAAATGAAATTTTGTTGTGGCTCATTTATACCAGCTTAATTCACGTTAAAGTATCTCACTGGAGACGGTAAATGATGAAGGTAACAATGAATCGATAAAAAAATGTTTCAGAATACAACTTTGGAAACTACAGTTTGAAATAATGAACTTTATTGTCTCGTATGAAATAAATAAATTTACTGTTATCGATCAAAGTGTACATTCTTCAATAGTAGAATTACGTTTGAGAAATGATTGAAATAACACAGTAGTTTTCCTTACATATTTATTGGTGATTATTCTAGTTTTTCGCTTTTAAATATGTTAACTGGACCGTGGCCTATAAACGCACTATGTAATTAAACTACTTTTTAAGTAGTTTGATTATGATTATTGTTTCATGGTTTATACCTTTTGAAGACTCATGATAACTGCCTAATTCTTTCAAGATTTTGAATACTCTGGTTGCATAATTTGCGCTCATTCCTCTTGATTTAAACTAATAAGGGAGGAATTTGTTTCCAACATTATTTTTGAGGAAACAGTTGTGTACATTATAAGACCTTTATAAAACTTAAAGTCATATCATATAAGTAATACAGCTTATTACAGTGAAACGATTTCACGTATTCTCCACTTTAGAAGGTCGTTTCACTTACAGTTGGACATAGTTTAGTGACTTCAGGTTATTAACACAATTCATTGACTGAAAATTTTCCAGTTTCTTCGTAAACATCATAAGAGTATGCGTTGTATGAGCATTAACACAATTTAGTATAAACTTGCACTCCATAGATGCGAGAACTGAAAAATAGCTATCTTGTGCTCAAACTTCTTCAGTTTTGGTCATCTTTGCAAGATTTTTACCACGCTTCGACAATTTTTTCAATAAATACTTAGCGAAATTTTTTGTACATTTTCCCTATGCTTTTCAACATTAAATAATATTACCAAGGAGCTAGTAGAGCTGATAAAGTCAGAATCAGTTACAAATTTTGTCTAACTGGACAGCCATCTGCAGGAAGTATTATGTTTGGCATGTATCAGCAGACCTGTGAAATTCTGAGTGGATCCTAACTTGCTTTCAGAACAACTATGGATTGAGTGCAGAAACATTGTTTTTCCATGGCTGACTTGAAAAGTAACAGTGACATCGGAAAAATCTTACGGAACAAAAGGCTTAAATAGGTCATACAAGACTAATATTTTAAATGAATCTTATGTTCTATTTTGGTGATATTACTAATTTATAATAAACTTTAGATTTGCCAGTTAGCTGTAGGATTAAAAGTCTCCCCTTTCTTTCACTTTTAATCATATTTTGCTTTATTTTCTGAATGACAGAAAGTATGTATTCATTGGATCGATTCTCTAATAGATCAAGCCACAGACAATCGTTCAGAGAGAGTCTTGGATTGTCAGGTAAGTGCTTCTATGCGCGTAACTAAGACTGTTTAGTACTGAGTTAACTCCAAACTGCAAAACAACCACTTTGTTTAGTATTGTATGCAATCAGTTGCCGTAGGAAAAAATGAGTTATATCCAGGCAAGAGACTTGTTTTCAGAAATTGTAACCACCGCTACTTGAATTAAAACTTTAAAATTTCAAGGATTCACAATTCAGTTATCATTTTTCCAGCCAAGCAAACAGTAGTTCATAATTAGGCCATTTTCATCATTATTTAGGCAAACGTCATAACAAGGATTGAAAATAGCAGGAAGATTGTGTTCAGATGGAAAGTGAATCAGAGTTTCATCATCGCCATCATCATCAACATAGGACGAAGCGTAGTAAATGCGAGAAAGAAAGAACGAGATGATGACATTAAGTGTAGCGGTTAAGATGGGGATAATGTGTGTGTTTACATCTGCGCCACAGATATCGGCTGTGAAGTATATTCCCAAGAGTCTCCAACCACCAGTTTCTCTTGTCCCACAAACCCTAACCGGCTAGTCTGCATCGTCCTATATGGTTCAAACGAGCAGTCAAAGACTTCATACATTGATATCCTGTTTTAGTCTGGCCGCTTCAAGCTATTTTTCAGCCTGGACCTACTTTGATGAACATTGTGTGATGAGGCAGGTGGTGGGCAGGCATACATATCACCATGTTCAAGCCATCTCAGTCGATGTAGGCACACAGGCGCTTCAACTGTCATACCTCGACTCCTTATAACCCTACGTCTGACTTCTGCGCCAATCACATGATAATACCATGGAGCAGTGATGGTCAGTGGATGCTGAAAGGAAGGAAAAGGTAGAGGTGAAAGGTAACGGGAGACAATTATTTAGACTTATTAAAGAAAGTACGGCAAAGAAGTCAACGATTAGCGGGACTGTAGCGGAGAAGAATGGTCCTGCGATTCACTCACAAGGGATACGACTGAAACGATGGATCAAACACTTCGAGGAACGGTTCAACTGGCTTCCAGCTGCTGTCACATTATCCGCTGTAATTAGCATTTTCGTTAAAAGACATCATTTGGTGTCAGTAGTTAAATTGCACAGTTATGGCAAACACTTAGTCTTACATATCGACATAGTTCCTACCAGGATACTTAAAAGAATGGTGGTTAGAGGTAAAGTTAAAAACTGAGCTACAAAATATACCAAGTCATCTAGCAAGCTTCTTTCTAAACTATCCTTTTTATTTAATTACATGCAATATAGTTCAACACACAAACACATTTCTGTCAGTTTGAGTGACGAATATGGCGCGTTTTCACTCTGACAATAATAGGTATGGTTAAATAAACATTCAGTTTTGCCACAGAAGAGATGAGGTACAAAATGTAATTGCCACTTTGAATAAAATATATGGTGTAGACATTCTCGTTGGAAAACTATCATGAAGGATGCGTAGAATTCAAAGTTTTGTAATGAATCGCTCCAATTAGAATAGACATGTACAGTGGAGGAGAGATAACTGCGTTTTAATACAGCTACAGAACTGTCTACAAAATTCGAGTATGTTTACAAATCACTTAAAGATAACGGGTCTTACTTAATATGTGAATTCCGATCTGTATATATCTTCATATGTCAAAGTATCTAAATGTTAGTTTGTAAATTTGAATCTGTCATTATTACCGAAGTTTTTAACTGAAGGAAAACTGATGTTATCAAAATACTTTTAGATGCAACAAATCACAAACCAATTTTTCAGGGCAAGCCACTAAATCACTCATGGACAGATACTGACATCTCATTTCATACTGAAGTTAGTGCTGTTGATATTGTCTAGAAAGACAATCAAAACTTCACGAATAAACTACATAGCTTAGAGAATTTAACGCAGTTAAAATAAGCCCATGCATTGAGCCAACTTTATTTGGAATGAATATTGTTAAAATGTCATATAAGACAACAAAATACCTCCACTGAAAACCATTATTTTTTTTATCCTCATTCAATAATTGATGCATTCAAGTATATAAAGTAACAACTATGAATCAGTAACACATTTTCTGAAGTCAATCAAAGAAGTATAATTATTTTTATCAAAATTGTCTACTTGTGGTGAAAGTGTTTTTCTAAGAATTGCTAGAGTTAAACATTTTTAGTGACATGTGACAGGTATCCGTTGTATATGATACTGAAACAGATACTTCTTTAACAACGCTCTTCACTGATGTGAAAACTTATGTTTCATTGAGTAAGAGGAACATGCGTTCATGTGATAAACTGTGTATCAGAATGCTAAAAGCTGAATGCTACTCGTTGTGAACCCAACTAAATAAAAGTTTTTTTACTGTTTGCTCTCATAAGCAAGATGTGGTTGCCAATAAGGTACAACTTATTTCCTCAGGGAGACTTGAACGCACGTTTGACTGTGCTACATTGTCAATAAATAATAATGCCACGAACCTTGATAATCCCTTTAACTTTTCCGTCGGCAAATGGAGTTAGCTTAATAAGCTGGCAGAATTTGCATATCCTGTGATGTCAGTTAATACTATATCAAATGCTCTTAAAGAATTAAAATATGTACATGAACTCATACTCAAGAATCAGACTGCTCAGTATCCTGTAAACTCTGTATTCTTATGACAGTTAGGCTCCAATACTAAATAGTCTGAAACACAAGTTGTTTTAGTAGTGTTTTTCATCTGGCAGTTTATTCAAGGTGCTCACAAGTTGCGATACCTACGAATAAATACCGATATGTTGGTAATATATATATTTTGAGTATGAAGCTAAATCCACCAGTTGATATGTTCACAGAGAGTATTGTACTATGGCTGCATTTTTGCAACATGCAATTAAGTTTTGAATGATAATAGGCAAGTCAAAGCCGAGGGAATTTTATTTCAGTGCAGCTAAGACTTTTTCATGTTGTTAAATACATCCTCCGAAAGTTATGAACTGAAGCTACAACCTCACTAACTGTAAAATTGAAAGCATCATTAGGTGACGGTCATACTATGGATAACCCTAGGATTATTTAGTTGGTCTCGGTTCAGTAAAAGTACAGTCCATAAATTTCACTCATACTGGGTTCTTACTTACTCCTTTATTTAAAAATCTAGGCATATGTACATGCTACATTTTGATGAATTATTTAAGTTTACTTGTGACTTAATTCAAACCTTCGCGTAAATTATATTATTTAGAAAGATGCAAATGTTATTGGGATCATACACCGTATGCTCCAGAAGGAAACTCTGTGATAAATGATGAAATACGTTCAAGAACAGGTTCAATACGTAGTGGTGACTTTCAGCGTTCTCGGCCTACTTCATTTTCAAACAATGATGAAATACACTATAAACCTGTATATACAAGAAGTGATGAAGATATGCGTGGCAGAACACTCAGTGTTAACACTAATACAAATTCGGGGAATCCAGAAGACCTGCATGGTTCACTTTATAGTCCAACAGTTATCAATCTGAATTTTATGAATCCAGATGAGTGTGTTAGTAAGTAAATAGTGGAATATATACGACGTTTACTTTGTTCTTTCATAAATTATTTTTTTAATTAATGATGCTATCTAAAGTAACAATGGTAGCTTTGAGGTTGATCTCTCCTAATGAGTAACCCATTAAAGCTTAAAGTTGATTTACAATGTAAAGCCATCTAGTTACATGCGTTCAGCTTGCAGGTAATTGTATATTTATAAAATACACAGAAAACGTTCCACTTTTATATGGAGTAAATGCCGATTCAGTCGTCTAACCTTGCAATGAAACGCCCAAGGAAAAACTTCAGAGCTTGGTGAGCACCAAACAATTATTATCTACAAAAGGCTTGTACACATTAGTTTAATAGAATTTAACTTGGCGTGAATGATAATTTGAGGGCGAGGGGATGAAGATTATGATATTAATAGATGACTATGGAAGATCACAGGACACACACAAGTACTACAACTTAAAATTCATTAACCAAAAGTCGAGTCAACTTGGAAATAGAAAGTGAATCGAAAAGGGTGTTTTCCAGATTTTTTACATTTGTCATAAGAAACTCAATAGGTATTTATGCTAACGAAAGCTGACAACAGTGCCTGATTGCTCAAGTTTAGATCAAAGTATCAGAAAGATGAAATTAAGCTTAACTGCTTTCCAAAATAAGAGAAACAAACTTTCGAATCTTGGAGCACACCTTTAGAGCAAAACACGCATGTCAAGGAATCTTCACACTTGAGTAATCAATTATGTAGTACTGTAGGATATTTGATACTTTTAATGACTTTTGTAGTCAATGCATAAATGTCATCTCTTATCCCACTGTAGCATGTTACTTGTAACAAATGCATGATACGATTCATGACAAACTTCATAAAATATGTACATAGAGAATAATATTTCTTTTAAAAGCACAACGCATGAGTTCTGTAAACATGAAAATATAAGTCAGAGTTTTCTTAACAGGTAATAAATAAAGTAGTTTAAAAAAAATAATCTCGTCAAGTGGAACTAAAAGAGTGTACCTAAAATTGAATGTTATGTCAAATGCACTAGTGGCGTTATACATTTGGCGATATGTACATAACCTTGGAAAGCACCGCTGAATATGGTCAGAATCATCCATTGGTTAAAACTAAAATCAGCATTTCGGTGTTTTTTTGCATCCTTGTCTTACTATTTTACATAAACGTATTTGGAAGCTAACTTTACAAGGAAGACATTTCAGTATGCAATAATACAAATAACTCAAACTATGGAAATCATGTTGTTACAGTACCTTTGGCACCTAGAAATGCAAGTTACTACTTAATTGATAAGCAAAATTTGAAGAATCTAGGATATCACATTACTTGTATTTTGTGGTTAACTTGTCATTTTACTATTGTGATAGTGGAGATAATTTACATTTTCAACAGTCATTAGCCAGTAAGAAACTACTATGTGAAACAAAAATTCAGTAAAATTGTGCACACGTTTATGAACACAATTTGTTTGGTTTACAGCTGAAGGTAAGTACAGTTTTTAACAACAATAAATACTTTATTTTTGAAAATAACTTCTTTATAGGACCACAAATAGCATGTTCGCGATTACTCTGCACTATGAAATTATATTGAATATTTGTAACTCAGTATGAAATTGTATATAATCTGATGTCGTATAAGTTTCAATAGTTAATTGTGGATGTTTTGTCATCGGAACTGTACTTCATGGTACTGTACATCGTGGTATAACGAAATGTCTGTCTTTCAACATCACATTTCAGCGAACAGCAAACGGCTTTTACTCAGCACCGGTTTAGATGTAATACATTTTTAAGTTAAATTATATTAGTACATCTTGTGTTTGTTAATCACCTTTGAACACGAGTTCTCTCCACAGATGGTGAATAATGTATCTGCCTATGCCTTACTGCTTGTTTTTCATATCGCTCATGTTCTTAATGCGGTGACTAAGGCAATATACATCAGCAGCACATTGTACTTTGGTCCTAAGTGCTCAAAGTCAGACCGTGCGTTTCCAATCTTTTAAAGTTCATATCTCATTTGGTAACAAAAGTCTCATCAATGAATTTTTTTACTATAATCTTAATCTCTAGCAAACCAACTAACTCCATACATTCAAGAACCATAACTTGTGAATCCGTCTTTTTTGCTTTAGCTTTTGGAAGAGAATAGGAAAGAAGAGTAATATCACTTCGTTATAGTGTAGTAATATGAAACGTCCCAAGCTGCTGACCACTGCAGGGTGAAGGACTAGGAAAATACAAAGAGATTGTAACAAAAATCTAATCATGTTTCATGCAATTAGTACCTGTAAATATGCACCTAGTTCAAGAATGCCAAATGCTCTGGCTACTTTTCTTTAAAACTCTCTGAAATACCCAACAGCTGAAATTAGATAAACCTATGGATTAGTTTCTCAGTGTATAATCTGCTTTGGTTTTAGCTTTATTCACACTAGCCCCAAAAAATATCTACCACGTTAAACTTCACTGTGTCATAAATATATCAAAATACTGAAAACCAAACATCCCTCAGTTTCTGTCAAACTATTTAGTCTAAACTTGGTTTAAACATAAATATATGTGGAATACAACTAACTGAACTTTGTAATAATATATTTCTTAATTTATTTTGACAGTAACACAATCTAAACCAACAGGTATCGCCTCATATTTAGTTGTTTAATAATTAAATTGGTGTGCACAACTATGCATCACTGATAAATACAAATCCTTCTCCTGATTATTCTGTCTACATTTTGCATTGATAAAAAATATGCAAAATTAGGTGCTTCATTTTTCGGTTCTTGTGACAAGTATTCGATAGAACGAATATCTCATTCGATTAAAATGGAAGTAATGATAAATTTAGGTACTAATGTGTGAAGGATTCTCCTAATGTTACTGCATTCATCCACTGAAAAATGTGATGTATGGCAGGGAATTAGCAATTCCTTTGCAATAACAGCTGCGTTATCAGGATCAAAATAGTACACAAGCTGGGTTTGAAAATAAACGAGTAAACAGATTAAATTGATTGATCGTTGAAGACAAACCAGTTTCATGTTGTCTAGTCCTGAGTGAAGACCGAATTCTGTCGATCGTTTTGCGATTTGGTGAACAAACTAGGTGGTTTACCATCGCAGTGCACTTGATGCTTACTATTTCGTTGGAGGCAATGTTCAGAAAGCCCTGACTCAGGTTTCTTGCTTGTTGACACTCGTCAGCAAGGCGTATCTGCAACCTTGAGGAATTCCTCCCAAGTACCGTCAACCAACTAACATCTATCTAATTGACCAGGGTGCTGAGCCTCGTGGCTTGGTGACCACATTGCAGAATAGTCGATAGAATTCGTTCAGCACTCGGGACTAGAAAACAAATAGTTGGCTGCTCTTCAGTGACCGAGTATTTTATCTAACTCACTTTGACAGAAGATGAATCTCTGCATGAATAGCTTACTGGTGACGTCACTGAATACAAAACTGGATGATGTGGGTTCCAGTCTCACAAGGGACATCAACTCCCTTGAGGTTCCAGATACCCTTTTTTACCCAGTGCAAACCAGTATGAAAGCCAGGTCACACGACTTCCGTCAGATTGCTTTTAACCAACTATCGATCAGAGTGAACATAATTTCCAACATTTTACCCTTGAAAATGTAGCTTCATTATTCTGTTAGCCTAAAATTCAGACTGCCTTTGAACAATAATGTCATTCAAAGTTAATTTGTTTGGCTTTTGTAAAAGCTAGAAAATTTAATAAGTTTGTATGCATAGTAAGAAGCAACGAGATTAATGAAGATATTTGTTACTCCTATGAATGACTCCCGTTATGTTTTGTTATCCATCTGCAGTCCACTTATACTAAGGTACATGTTTGAAAACACGACTACAAACTGAAATTGTCTTACAGTTCTGTCCATAAACTGGCATGCCTTTAAACAGTGAAGGACTGAAGTTTTTCTTATTAACATCTCATGAATTACACCAAAAACATTTGTGCTGTACAATCTTATTGTTAAAATATTTTTGTATAAATTAGGTGAGAGCTATTCCTCATAATGTACCTGATCCTAAACGTAAATAATTTAAGATTTTTACGTATACAGGTGATTTTGCACCAAGCAATCGTGTGTCTATCAGAACATCACTTAAACGCCCACCAAGAAGTTCTTCACCAGTGTCGAGTAAGTCTAAATTGAAGCTTTTGTTTTAACAGTTAGAGTAAAGAAATAGTTTCTTTCCACTTAACTTCTAATTTACAGCTTCATACATTTTCATAAAGCATTGGGATATTTCAGTAAAGATTACCGGTTTACTGATGGAAGGCTTAGCAACAAGAAAACATTAGTTTTAACACACTGAGGGGATCCCAATAAATCACATTAGCTAAGTTATGTATTAGGGACAGAATATTTGTGCGATTGAACTGCTAAAGTTAGAACAGATAATTACGTAACTGACAGTTTGCCGAGAATAGTGAACGAGTATTCTAGTATTTAATTAGTGATAATAATTACGTGAGAATGGTGAAAACAAAGGATACGAAATTGGGTGGTTAACATTATAATAACAATAATGATAATTTCAGTTATTTGAATGAAAAGCAATGATAACAAAAACGTTATTTAAATGATTTAGACAAAGAAAGAGGTTGCTTGAGTTTCTTCAGTACAGAGACTCAGCTTGTTTGCACGCATTTTGATAGATTCTGAAAGTTATCAAAACCGAACTCATAAAGTATTGCTTAAGTAACTGTAAATCTTATAAATAGTTCTCACGACATTCTCAGTGTCGATTCAATGTTCAGGATTGACAGTATTTGAGACTATGGAGTTCCATATACATCTCTGTACTTTGCTTAAGTACGATGCACTATGATTCGCACTTCGTTTATGAATTTTCATTATCATACTACACATTTGGCCGGCTTCGTATAGGTAGTTGAAACGCTTAGTAGGCATAGGGCAGGCGAAATCAATGGATGTCTTAGGTTTGTGAACTGCTTATCCATTGACTAAAAAGTACAGGGTTTAAGACTGCTTACTTTCTTTTGATGACTGAGAATGAATCTAAGCAGAGTTTCTCTTCTTGAGATGATTATTGACAGTCGACTGTTGTGGCAGACAGACTTCTCTATTCAATACCCTAAAACTGATCTGAAATTAATTCAGTTAGCAGTGTATGAAAAGTGAATGCTTTTACACAACCCAGTGGATAATATCCCAACATATTTTTAGAAGCTTGTTTTGTTAGTGCTTAGTTACCTCAGGAAACTTGATGAATTTGGGCTGGTTACTTTAACCATTAAAACATTTCAAGAATGTAGCTGATTCTAGAGTGAATTTCAAGGCAAACACTAACTCGGCATTGTTATCTGGGTCAAAGAACCATTCGAGTGTATCTACAGACTTGGAAAATTCCGTTTGATTGAAACTTTTGACAACTAATACTTTCGTAGTCTTTTACTACCCAAGTAAAAAAGGTTCTTTTTGTTTTTTTACTTCACTTATGTGTAGATGGATATAATTTCGAGAAGGATATCACAACTGGGAAGGATATTTCAAGTAAGGCATTTAATTTCTAGAAAGCGATTATTAAAATTATTCATAAACTATCTGTGAACTTATCAATAAAGAATGTCCCACCATTTCAACAGCTTAACAGATATTTTGGCAGACACGATTACTTGAAGTTCATTTGCATTCATTTTCTCATCCTCGTCAAAAATAATGTTGTATTGTCCGTTTTTCTTCTTTTCCCCCATTATTTTGAGTGAACATGACTTGGAAATATCAGGCCGGAATTTATTCATGTCAAAATTTATGAATTCGTCAACGTAAACTAACCTTTAAACACTAAGTCGACTTCAACCGTTTGATAATTACAATATGCATCAAAGATGGGCATCATTAAGTAGACAGTTTTGGTTGACATTTTTTACGACTAAAAAATTAAAGTTGACTAAAATTTACATCTGTTTATAGTTAAGTATTTAGTCTGAATATGAGATGAAGGAGCCAGGCTGCCAAAATAAGTTCATCATGCTTCACTCTATTTCAGCAAGTATGATCCATTATTGTCTATTATTATTCTTACCTACTGAGTTAAATTTATATGACCTAATTAAAATTAACTAAACGATGAATGACTACAGGTATACACCTTTTTATTTCTCATACCAATTAACAAACAAAAGTAGCAGTAGTGAACTCGAAGCTCATGCTACGCCCCATTCATGAGAATATCATGAATACTATCGCACTAAAATATTGTTCTAAGCTATAACTTACTTCATATTTCCAAAGTATACTTGACTGAGTTTGGTTTAGTACTTGGTATTATTTTTTCTTGCTGTAAACTGTCATAGATGAAACCTTCCATATTTGTCTTGGAAACATTGATGATTTTCAGAGAAACAGGTTCATTATTTATATTCATACCTACACTTAGGTACTGTTCATCAACAATGTGCAGGTAAAATAAACATTGCTATTATATATGACGACATAAAAAGCGAAATAAAATATTCATCACTTCCTTCACACTGGGATTTTTTCGTGGTTATTTTGTTTTCTCATGATATTGTGATAGAAAAAAATGTTTTATTCAAAAACTTTCTAGCTTCTGATTGAAACTGATTTGTTAGTTCTATTAACGCTAATGAATTATGTAATTCAAATTGGACCATTACTTCGTGATATGGCTGGAAGTGGAACCAACGTTATATAAATACATTATTAACATGTAATATTTTAGGGAAATTCATTCCCTTTTTCAGTACTCTTCGAAAGTCAGTTTTGATGCTCAACTAATTAATTTTAATTTAGTAGCGTAAACTTTACGTTTAAAGTTTAGGATAAATATCAGATATCAGTATAAGCATTTTTGTTCTGTGCAGATGAAGTACTCACTATTCTTAACGCTAAGAAATAAAATAATTTCTACTCTCCCACTGAATCCTTTGGAACTAAGTTTTACTCTTTGTAGGCGAATATAAAACTGAATTTATCATGAGAAATTACTTTCACACATATTCTTATCCACACTTCCCAAGTCACTTAGTATATCTAGTCATATTAGTTTCTGATGTAACTACAAATAAGATGGTGTTAAATGCAAGTAAAATAGAACGTTAAATAGAAACTGTAAACTTAAATAAACTTAAGATCATTGTTTACATGACTGACATACCCACTCATCCTGACAGCTCGCATGAGCACTAGAATAAAAAGTCACCATAAGGACTGTCCAACTTAGTTAACTACGTTTATAAAAAGTACCTGTCTGAGAGTCGTTCATAAATTCCCACTGATGTTTTAACCTTCAACCAAAATTGTTCTTTAGATGAGTAGTTGGGGTAGAGGTAGGATAGACATCATGAAAATTCACATTATTAATCAGGATACACAAACTGATGAGCAAATTGATTAGGTGATCTGTTAACAAAATACGCCGAATATTTATTCTCCTTTATTACGAAGCCTGATATTGCCGAAAAGCGAAATACCTACCTCAGCTAATAAAGCATAGATTTTTGTATGAAAAATCTATTCACTTTGTAGGTCTGACACTAACTCATGCTAAATTCGAAAATTCGTGCCAATATGTGAATAACATAACGGTCATTCTAGTAGCTGATAAAATAACCAATAAGGTTGCGCCATTTCATAAAAATGCTGACATCCCAACCAAATGGAGAAACCACATTGGCCCCGATTCGTTCAACGCAAACTACGAAGTGACTTTAAAACCCGTCCTAAGGAATTGATGAACAAACCAAATACCTTTCTCTATTCCAACCAGATAGGTCATTATGGCAGCTGTTAAGATGGCCTTTAAATTCACCCCAAAACACAAGTAACAGTTAAGGCCAAATTAGGATTGACTTCAGAGACCATCCTTGAAACAACTGAAATAACCAATTAGATTTCCCTCTTCTATAAAAACCTGCTTTTGCAGCCCAAATGAAGAAATCTTATTTGTCGTTTCGACTGTTGCTAGAGTGGCCTTTAAAATCGCCCCCATATTGATAAAAGAAGTGAAACATTGGTTGACTTTAAAAGCGAAACCCTAGCAACTGCCAAAACAACCGATCGGGTTTCTGTATTTTGCCTGGAAAGATAATTTCTCACAAAAGCGAGAAATGTAATTGGCTATCCCAAAAGTTGCAGTGGTGGCCTTTACAGTCACTCAAAACATCACATCACGGAGGACTTTAAAGGGCACCCTGCCAACTGTTCAGATAGCCAATTATATTTCTCTATATGATGAAAAATTCCTTTCTTAGGTGGAATTTCTAAACCTGATTCGTCACTTGCTAGGGTGAACTTTAAAGTCATTCAACAGTACACGTATAGCAGACTTGTCTTACACTTTCATTCCTCTTCACCCAAGATCCAATGCTGAACTGATAAGATAAACATTAGTACTTTGTAGGTGTTAAAATTCTCAAGTTTTTTGCCATTATCCTAGATACAGCTGTATTAGTCACTATTTTAAGGTGACTTTGAAAATCAAACAAGCTACAACTGAAGCAACCAGTTATCCTTTTTTGAGTAACTTGAAAGGCCACTCTGACAACTGCTGAAATAAACAATCAGGTTTTGGCAGTGTCAGGTGAGAAGGTAGTTTATCACAAAATAGAGGAACGCAATTCATTAACTCAAAAAATATTAGGTTGACCATAAAAGTTGTTAAACTTCTTCATAAGTGGGACATATGTCGTTGCCGCCGAAATAAAGAAGCCTAATTATTATTTCAATCCTTTTTAGGGTGGCCTTCAAAGCACTCCTATTTTAGATTGAATGTAAAGAAGAGTGACTTCAAATACCACTCTGACAAAACCGAAATGATAATCCAGGTGTCTTTATTTTGCCTCTTAAAGTTATTTACACATGAAATCAAGAATCGAATTGTTTACTTCAACCGATTTTAAGGTGGCCATCATAACCATTCAGTATGACAGTCAAACTTGATGTAGGCATATCTCCCTTGTAAATTAATTATTAGTTTACCCTTATTTTTATTGGATTTGATTTTGTTAACATTTGCTATGATCCCTTTGTGAATACTATTGTACCTAGAACAAAAGACAGTTTGCGTATATGAAGATATTTAAACATGAAGGTAAAATTCCTAAGTTACTTGGTTCCGAATAATTCCTTAGGTTGGGTTTCTACCACAAAGTCTTCGACGTGCTCACCAAGTGTGATGCAGATGACAAAGAAGCTTAAAGCGTCTTATCCGCAAAATAATTTTAATGACTCACTTCCGAACAGATTGGTTTCCTTAGTTGTAAGCCAAACACGCAATGATGGCGTACGATGTTGTTCAGTCGTTCAGATCAGCAGCAAAATTTGAACATTGAACTCTATGCAAGAAAGTAAAGTCAATAGAACAATGGTGATCTGTTTTTCGTTAACTATCCGGCATGTGATAATCGCATTCTGTCTGTCATGATTCATTAAATCCATAGCTGATATTAAACCAAAGTTCTAATAGCATTGTTTTCCTCAGTTCATTACTCTAAATCCAAGTAAAATATAAAGCTAGTCGAATGATATGGAGTCATGGTATTCCGAAACTAAGAAAACGGTTACAGATAACTAACCAGCAAATCGACAGTTTGATTACATTATGTTTGAAACACACTGCAGTCCGAAGTATTTCTGAAAGCTTAAGTTGTTCAGTCAAGTTTATCAAGAAACTGAGCAAGCATCCTCTGGATTTCCAGTTAACCATTCTAGTGACTGCTCTAGGCAACTGTAAGACACCTCTTTCAATACCATCACTGAGACTCACTTCAAAATTACTAGTACGTCAATAATTCAATGTTAACAAGTTCGTATTACTGTGTTTACTTCTTGTTCATAACTGTGATATCTTATAAATTCCTCTTTGCAACAGATTGCGACAGTAAGTCTTCTCTTTAACTACTACAGTTCTTAAAAAATTAAATGTACTACAATGGTTGATTGCAGCTAGTTCTTAATGACAATCTTATGGCTTATTATGCATCTGATAAGGACTACATAAAATATTCAAGAACACAACATCAATAGTATCGTGAATAGCTCAGCAGTACAATCACTGACTAAAGCACAGTGTCATGAGAGTCCGAATTTTACAAGAGTCCAAACGATACAATAACAGTGGACGAGAAAACAAACATTACCTTAAAATTAAACTGCAAAAACTGTATAAAACACTACATCGGATAGAGTGGTCACTCCATTCGCATCCGTCTACATCAGCACCAACCGGTAATGAGGCGTCACGACATATCGTCATTCATATCAATGCATGCGGACAACTGTGGACATGAATTTGATTGGGAAAATGGGGAAATCCTGGATAGAGGAAATACGAAGAATACCAGAGAATTCGTAGAAGCTTGGTATTCAGGTCAGTCAGCAGTCAACAGACATATTGACCCAATCTATAAACCGATTAAAAACAACAAGCAGGTCGAAATTCAGGTCATCAGGCCAACGAATCAAAATGAACATGAAGACGATGACAAGATCTAAGCAGAAACAAGCCATCACACACAACGTCATCAGGACAAACTATTAAATAGATTGTGGAGGAACACTGACCGCTTACTTCTTTCTGAAGTTTGTGTTGATGATGTTGTCTAGAAGGACGCCGAAAGCTTCACGATCATACAGTTTAGATCAGAAAAAATAACGCTATCAGTACAGGAATCAAACGTCGATCAGACTAGTCTGTCCATCGCATGAGTAGTAGCTTTTTCACAACCACTTTATGAGTAAATATGCAGAAGGTAGCTAAACAGTTATTAAGAATATATTACTTTGTGATACTAGTTTCCAAAAACGAAACAGGCCTTACTGGTTTTCAGAAGAAAGTTTGACACATGTCTTTCCTTACTAACATTGAAGTATATCCAAAATATTTGAGTGGCAGCATAGCAATAAGATCGTTTGACTAGACTTTGATGCCTTTCATTGAATATGTCACATATTTTGAATAGGCTAATGTTGCTCATCCTCAAAGTAGTATGTTTCAGTCAGAGCAGAACGGTTAAGAAAAATCACTCTAAATAACGATAATCTTTCACTCATTTTGTGATTACTCATGGTACATCTAAACTACAATACAACATTACGGTTGTGATGAAGAATTACGAGAAGCGTCCTCTTTAGTGATCAATATCCTTTTCAGTACAACCATTTATCTTATTTCATGGTATGCTAATCATGCATAAATCATGTCCAAATCACCTTCATAATCATAACTTTGAAAACATCACACATAAATTCAATGTGTTATTTGGTCACTATAACATGTGCTTCATGATAAAGTCTGTATTTGACCTGTCATAATGTCAGCCTAACTACCACTGTCGTCAAAGATTTTATTTAAAACGTTGACTTCAGTTTCGATGAGTGTTTTCCACAATGGGTAAACCATAAATATTCAGTGTAAGATGAAGATATAACTGAGACATTTTTTTTTCTAAGAAGTGATCAAGCAGTAACACTTCATGCCCCTGTTAGTCTACTGTTTTCTAGTTTGTAAGATAATCAAAATCGTCTGTCATATAATTGTTATCAAAATCATGCAATCCGTATCTAACAAGTTTTGAACTATCGTTTTAAATCTTGCAGAGGGTAGTTGTTCGAGTAAGTTTAGAAAACACGTTTGCTAGCACAAATTATCCTAGTGCTGCAAATAATAAAAGAAATACCTTTTTAGCATTCATTTAACCTGATTTGTCATATATTATGCAAGCGTCGTCATGTAGGTGAATGGAGACAAACAAATATTTCATTTCTTTGTAGCAACAATTAAATCTCGAGACATTCGAGCAACTGGGTACAGCATATTCTAACACACACACACACACTAAACAGCTAATCAGATCACACTTAGGTTAAGTAGTACGCAACAGATATCTATGCACAACCGAATACTTCACTTTATTTTGCAGCTGCGATGCACTGATAATCATGTTAAGGATGATATTGAGACGTTTGACAACTGAAAACTTGGCTCAGTGAATAATCCATTCCGAACATTTCGATATTTCTTGTGATTGTCATATACTTAACTGATTAAATGGCTGTTGATTTATTTACAACTGAGTAGACGTTTAGTCTCAGCCTCTCACTCGCATATCCTTTTCTGGGAAGGCTATAATAGGTGTTTCAAGTTTAAACTTTAAAAGATACTCTGCAAAAAGTATATGTAACACAGTGTATCAGTACACAAACGTTAAATGCTTCGGAATAGCACATTTTTGGCATCAGAAGCAGGGGAACAAACGCACTGATGTGACTAGATCAAAACCAGAGAAGCGTTTTCGACCACCATACACAGGCTACTTTTGATGAATTCATTGATACTTGCCAGTGGTTATACCAAGTGACATTAGGATCTTAACCTTATCGAATTACATCTGACTTTAAGCAATTTATCGACTCTGAACATTGTTAAGATTCATTCAGCAATTCGGATGTCATAAAAATGAAGTATTTACTAAGTTTATTTCCCTAAATATATGAAAGTATTAAGATTTTATTCAACATGGTATTAAAGTTAGTGTTGCGTTTGCAAAGATAAAAATGTAAAACATGTAGTAAGTTAAATATCATCTACATCTGTCCTTAGCTTCCACTTTAAAGCTTAGAGTGACATTAGAAGCAGTTGTTTTCACCATTTGAAGCATTTATATGGTTGTATGACCAATGATAGTGACCAGGTAAACGTCATGTAATTTCTGTTGACACCATTGACGCGTGTTTGACTAAGTACTAATGCGTAATCTATCTAAAAGTGTACTGCATAACCTGTATGCAGCTTGCAAACTTAAAATAACCTTCAATATGTTGATTATTCACTTAAGTGTGTTTTCTGATGGAAACTAGAGAAGGGATTATGTTTAGCGATACGATGGACTACAGATTCCGTCTATCGATAATATTTTCTATAGATTTATAGTCTCAAGTATTAATCACTTTCATAAGAGTCATTTTTCACCTACCTTCATCCTCTGAAGATCTATCAAGTAAGGTTAACACTTTTTGATTTTATCAGAATGAATCTAACTCAGAATTCACAAGCATATGAAATTTTTCTCTCTGGTTTACTTATCTATTTTTTATAAGTGCGCACTGTTAGATATATATGTGGACTAATGTTTTAATATATCGCTAAAGTGGATAACTAAAAGTGCGATTAGATCTCTTCCTTTTTTTCAAAATCCGTTAACTTTTACATGACTTCATTGACATGTCCACAATACTGGTTTAAAAGCCTGTTTAGGAATCATGATTTAGTTGTAAAATGATGAAGTTTATAATCACTACGGTGACACATATCTTAAACGATAGTCTACAGGTCATCTTCAGTTATGAGAAATCAAGAAATACTCCGGTGACAGAAAGTCTTATTAACTGATGGCTAGAACTCACTCAGCCAATTTGGCAACTGTTACTCTCTGGTGACTGATCCATATGGATCTAAAACCGTTTTGCGTACTCAGTATTGCAACGGCTAGTTTTACTGAAAGACGATTTGCATAGCTGCTATGACTGTGACCCCTTTCTGCTGCAAAACATTATTTTAAAGGTTTTTACCTGCAATAAGCATAAGTATTATGTTTTTTCATATGACATTTGCATCAGTATACCCAAACAAATTCACATCTTCTGGTGTATATGAGTGTCTTGAATTACCGCATCCTAATTTTCTAGTGCAAATTTTACCACTATTGCTTGGAATTAGCATTATGAAATCACTTTTCATCTGATATAATACCTGACAAACACGAAAAAAAGTATGAGTATTCACACAGAAGTCAAAACTCTGTACCTCCTGAATCCATACTTTTACAAGACATGTTACTCATTAATAGTGACCTATTTTGTCAGCTTTTCAAACTGTGAGTGAAAACACCTTATTTCACCATTCCCACCACTCGAAACGTCATCCTGTTGAGGATAGTGTAGCACATGAGGTCTATCAAATAAACCTTCTGTGAAACCGAACTCTGTCATAGTGCATAAGTTTCTACAGTTATATTTTTATGAATAGTTTGCACATGACCAATCAGTTCAGTGGACATCATTTAGAATTGGGAAGCCTGAATAAATCAGTAATAACGTCTCTGATCGGAGTAATGTGTGAAGCTAGTTCGAGAAAACCAATCCCCTAAGGTTTCAAAGATCCCCTGCTGACAGTTATCATAAAGTGAAAAACTTATGTCAAACAGGTTTTCTTTCCTATTGCATCCAATCATTTGACAGTACCAGAAATCCATTTCGAATGACTTTTCATCAGCATGGAGTTAAGCAGGACTGTGTGATACTTAGATTGAGATGACCAGACACAATTCTGGTGTGAGCCGTTATTATGCTACCGTAATTAAGTCCTATGCATGATATTCAGTTTGCTGTAATTGACTGAAAAATATGCTAAAAATAAAGCAGTGTTAAATAAGATGCCCACTCAGAAACGTCGAAGGCTCCATGAATGAAAACTACATCATAAAGGGGGATACTAATCCATATGAAATGCTTTTTTATTTGAATTGTCACCAAATAAGAAAGTAATTCAGAAAGGAATCAGTGAATTAAATTTAAAAGAATGGGGAGTTATAATGAGGAAAAAATAGTGAGTGGCCCATGACTTCTCATACATCTTATTCTAATCAAATCATGCCAAACATTGACTAATGTGTTATCGATGATGTTTTTAATTTCATTCATTTACAATAGATTGCACGAGTTAGTTCATTGAAATTTTCTGATTACTTAATTATTTGTAGTCGTATGCAATAATTGTTCTATAATACTGTCAATCACTTGACTGTCTTAAAGACTTCTAATCATATTGGTGGGCAGAAGTGAAGTTAAATTCTCAAGTTGCTATTTGTGAGCAAATAAATGAATGAGAGAAGAAATAAAAGCATTTTACAATTAGATTTTGATTCATTTCTGACTGTGTGAGATAAGAACTTGTTTAGACTAAAGAATTTAGAACTATATTACACCAAACAATGAATGATGTGTCTAAGGTTATCAAGGAAACACCAGTTACTCACTTTAGAGGTTTTTGAGGATATTATTGATTTCAAGTTAGCATTCGTAGTGGACTGACATCAGTTGCAGAACCATTTAAGACCTAGTAGCACAAAACATAAGTTTCGCCCTAGTATCGAACTCAGCAGTGCACACCCAAGACTCCACCAGTGATCAAACCTAAGACTTTCAGGTCTCACAGTGGACGCGTTACTACTGAGTCAATGGATCAGAATTCAACGATTCACACTTTCCTACTTTGGGCTCATTCCCAACGTTCGGATCATTAAGCCAGAGAGTCATATGTTCAACAACTGGTGGGACGTGCACTCCTGAGGTTTCCCATAATAGAACGAAATGGCTCTTCAGTGTTCGTAGCTGTTTAGTGGTCCTTTAAGTCATATCAGTCTCTGATGCCTGTCAACTTGAAGGACCAGTTATTTGAATTCCAGTGAGATCACATATTCATACAACGTGTTGACATTAAGACGTTATCACGCTGTCATCCAGAATATTATAAATATAGTGTCTTTATGCAGATGCACAAGCTACAGAAATACGATTCGAGTAGGCGGTATTAAAGCAAATCATCGGTATTTTGTGATTCAGCGTTACAGTAGGTAAGAGCGCTTCATCTCTATTGAGGTAATGAAGTTGACTTATTTCTAGTGTGTTTGCTGTAGGTGCTTGGATCGATACTGTGACAATATTTTATGAGTTCAATGAACGCAATGGCCTTGACTTCAAGTCGTCATTGTTATCAAAGTCACAGTAAGAAAACATTTTTGACATGGATATCTAAAGTCAGGTTTACTCAAATATGTATACTAATCAAAATAATATGAAACCAGTTTTCGTCTCTTGTTTCGTATTAATATCATCAATGATGGTTTCATTGAATCTTTTAAATGAGGATTTTTGATGTTGCTTTTTTTATAAAGTTGGTGATAGTAAGTTAACTTGAAAAGTCTATTGCCTGTTCATAAGTTTAATGTGATCGATTGGGAAATTTGAAATTAGTTCACTTTTTATCAAGTGTGAATAACAAATTTTGATATAACGCCATGTATCAAGTGATGGTTGAATGAAAATTCAGTTAACCATAAGTTTTTCGCAAGTAACCTGAATAAGTTCATTCAGAACTAGGTGTAAGGCATTTTCTGCATTCAGCAAAAAGATAACTCGCACGCAAGAAAATTGCCGAGAGAGAAGTCGTTAATTTGTTTTGAAACTTGTCATTTCCGGTTGCTATACAAAGCTGAAATGCTCGATCTTTTTTGGCAGATTGGCTCTTAAACGGATGCCTCAATACTGCCAGATATTTATGATGTTATAATTATCCTAGGGACTAGCAGGAGAATCCGGTACAGGCGTTTGCTCCTGTTTGGGACTTATCAGCTGAATGTACCTGTGCTACGGTGAGTGATGTTGTTGGCACTGGGACTCGAGCCCAGCACCCATCGCTTTAAACATTAAAAGGTTATCTACTGGGCAAATTGGGCCTCTCTGTCAACACAGGTCTGGGGATTCATTTCTGTTTGGCAACAAGAAATGACAGTTTTCAGAACAACAGACTTTACCCATTGAAAAGAGGTGGCTTAAGTACCTCGGTGGTTTAACAGATAGCTCTTTGATATTTGAAGCTATAGGTACTAAGTTTAAGTCTCAATAGGAATAAAACCACTCGCAGGGTGCAGTTACACCCATCTGACGTGTCCGAAATAAGGCAAAACGCGCGTTCTGGATAACAGTGCTAGTCATTTGGACAAATATATTGATCATTTATCTTTCTTGAAATCATTGTGACAACTGAACCAGCTTCTCCTATCATATATACATAGTAAAGAGTAGCGTATCCCTCATTATCAAACATTATGCCTGGAAAACACTAAACTGAGGGTGAAATACTCGCAGCTACATGTATCTTATGAAAACCTCTAAGTCATCAATCACACGTACATCAGTACCGATGCTTGATAAACAGTCCTATGTTAAAGTATTAGCCAATCCATAAGACTGTCGGCATATTTCAGCCAGAATGACTGAGGTATAATTTAGGTTTTTATGTCAAGCTACGTTTCGCTCACAAGTTATCAACTAACCAATTTACGGAATGGAAGTAGTCTATCCGCTCAGCATGAATCGTACACGCTATCAAAAACTAGCGTTCTTTAATGTACCAATTGTTCATAAAGGCTGATTAGTTGTAGGAAAATTAAATGAACTACTTGATGACCACTTTTTCTTCGATGGAATATATTCTAAAGGCATTCTAAAAAATTTCCCATTCAGTATGAGGATTATTTATATTAGATTTGAGAGTATCTGTGGACTGTATAATATTTCAAGTTGTTATTCGTCATAGACTGACATCAGTTGAAGGAACAAAAGAAACGTGGGAGCACTGGACAGCTGTTTCGGCCTAGTGAGCTGACAGAAGTTGGAAATATGGACCACTGGATTCTGACCCAGTGGCTCAATGGTAACGTAGTGGCCACGAGACCTGAAGGTCACGGGTTCGATCCCAGGGGTGGTCATGGGTGCACATTGCTGAGGAGCCCATACTAGGACGAAACAGCTGTACAGTGCTCCCGAGTTTTTTTCCTCCAACTGATATCAGCCTACGCTGAACAACAACTTGGAATATTTCCAAATCCCCACAACTCCCTGCAAAAATTGTATAATTGTTACTCAAGGGTCTTGTTCTGCATTATGTTTCCTTTCTTATTAGCATAATTGATAATGACTACAGTTATAAAATCAATATACATTTATTTCTTTGTTTACTTTTGTTTTGTAGGAGGTAGCTATATGAGTAAGTTCAAAATTCAGTTGTGTTTAATGTAATATAGCATAAAACTTGGGACTAAGTGTGTAGATTATTTTAAGCTCACAATAGCTTTAACTCAACCATACTGGGTTTCGGAACTTCATTGCTCCTGTATGATGTTTTTCTCCGTGGGATATTTCAATAGGAGACGCCTAGGTTAAAGCAAGAAATTTGCACCGAGAAGTTGAGAAGGATATCACTTGAAATTCAAACATATATATGTATTCTTGAATTCCGAGTGATATTCTTCTCAACTTCTTGACGTAAAGTTCTTTATTTCACCTTTAATGTTTTTGTTTGTGGAGAAACATTAGTGGATACTACTAAATGAAAGACCTCACTTATTCATTGTTGTATATTCTGATATTTTAGAGAGATTGCAATATTTCTTTTTTAATAGAAATTTGCTCCATATTTTTGAGTGGTTACAGTTTCCGCTAGATTTCTTCAGCTTGTCATGAGACCTAATGTAAGAAGTTATTGATTTTAATCGAAATAGAAGAAAAACCTATTTTCTCAAACTCTATGAACTAACTGGTGTTTGATTCGACTTATACTAGACCATTACTTGTATACTCATTGATCTGTATTGGAAGCATTGAAAAACAGGTCGAAAAGAAAATCTTAGTTGTAGCTGTCATTCACGTAACTGTTTAAAAATATGCTAAACCTTTTATTGTTCTATCAGAAAAAGACTGGTGAATGCACTAAGGATATCAACATCTACCGTCGCATGAAATTTTATTCAAACAACTCATTATAATCGTTAAATATGCACTGGCAGTACCTCGAAAAGGCTATTGATTTTCCACATGGAAAACTGGCAATCTCATTTCATCTCTGTCTGTTTAAACAGGATGCAAGGTGTCATAGTGAAAGCATTCAAGTAGCTGTGTAGAAATCAATAATATTGAAACAGCTCACCTACGTACCCATAACTACTAAGGATGCTATTTGTTACCATACTTCTTGTATCTAAATATTTTTCAGTAAATTTCAGGTTTATGAACTGAGTACATTTCTACGATGGTTATTGCCTGAATTATTATTTTAGAGTGAGGTTCAGTTGAAAGTACTAAGTGACGTTAGTTACGGCTGAGTCTGAGAAACTTGGGAACTTAATTTTCCTACAGTGTTTGTGCTACAGTTATGAATGACTACCTATAGCATCTTGACGGCTACTGGAATAACCTGTTAAGTTTAATTATAAACAATTCCTCTATTCTGATCAAAATAAAGAAAACCAACTCCTTAACTTATTGTTTCCTAGGTTCACCTTTGCAGTCACTCATGCAAGGAAACTAAGAAAACCGTGTGTAAAAACACTGTTGATCTTCTGTAATAAACAAGCAAACTATTCTGATATTCCAGCGCTGCCTACAGTAGTAATGTATACTAAACCGTTCAAGACAGCGTCACTCGTTTAAATATGCATGTGACGATTCTATCATGAACGAGTTATGGGGTGAAGGCTATTCATTTAATCTCAGGATACCAGGCAAACTAATGAGAATATCATAAGGCTCATTAATATAAGTGTAAAACTTGGGCACGATGGTCGAGTGTAATTCCATTTTAGTCTGTTTGTTAGAAATATCACACAGTGAAACAGTAGCATTTACTGAACTATGTCCGAAACGTTATTTAGTAAATTTTACTGTTTCACTGTGTGATATTTCTAATAAACAGACTAAAATGGAATCATAAAGCTCAGTCCTAATGTTTTCTAAATTGTATGAAATCTGTTATTTATTGAAAACTAACTACCATGATGGATCTACTGTTCTATAGTTTAAAGGATTGATTCTTTTCTAAATGCTACCAAGATTATTATAGATTTCTCACAGAAATTTAGACACCTTACATTTGTAATTAG